TGCCGTGGTAACTGTGCATGAGGGCAACACTTCCACAGGTGAACCAGCAACTAGAATCCAAACCAGTTCGACTCATTTAACTCCAGAAGAAGAAAACTGAAGAAGTTAAAGTGAAGAAGAAGCAGCTCCAGTTAAAAGCATAAAACAAACAAACATTAAGTCCAGGTCACTACTAAATATCGATCGGTCGTGCATTGATCACATGAACTGGAGTGAGCGTCCCTTTAATAATTAGCTTCAAGCTAACTAGTCTCAATAAACTGAATCAGACTGAACCAGTTAGAACTGGAGTAAACGTGTTCCCTTAATGTCCTCACATAGAAACAGACAGCTGAACAGGAATGAAACATTAGTCCAGTTAGACCCAGTTAAACCAGACTGAACCAGTAAGAACCACACTGAACCAGTCCCTTCAGATTTAAGTGCTTCCTTTAGAAACAAAACTGAAACTTATTTCACTTCATGTCCCAGCAGCCCGCTGAGCTCCCTGTGTGGCATCGTCCTTCAGAATTGTCCTCTAAACATTAATGTCACAGGAAATGATGTCACCTGCCTGCTCAGTGTCGGTCTGTGGCATCACACAACCCACAGTGATGTCACTAAGATGACGTCCCTCCAGGTGGATCCAGATCAGACAGACCAACACCAAACAGTGGTGACATCACAGTGATGTCACTGGTCAGATGAGCTCCCATTCGTCATCAACGTCGTCTCCACTGAGGGACGGGCCTGAGGGGGCGGGTCTACAGGGAGTCTGTGGGAGGAGCTTCGTCAGGCGACGGGACAATCCACCAATCAGAGTCACCGCCCACAACTCGTCCTCTGGAGTCACTGAAGAGAGAGAGAGACACACCGGAGAATATGACACATCTGAGGTACATCAAATCAACGTCTGTCACTGAGAATACACAAGTAATACACACTTCAGGCTGGTTCATGCGGATCTCCAGTCTGAACCCAGTCTCACCAGTATGAACCCAGTCTCTCCAGTCTGAACACGTCTCACCAGTCTGAACCCAGTCTCTCCAGTCTGAACCCAGTCTCTCCAGTCTGAACACAGTCTCACCAGTCTGAACCCAGTCTCACCAGTATGAACCCAGTCTCTCCAGTCTGAACCCAGTCTCACCAGTATGAACCCAGTCTCTCCAGTCTGAACCAGTCTCACCAGTATGAACCCAGTCTCTCCAGTCTGAACCAGTCTCACCAATATGAACCCAGTCTCACCAATATGAACCCAGTCTCTCCAGTCTGAACCCAGTCTCACCAGTATGAACCCAGTCTCTCCAGTCTGGACCAGTCTCACCAGTATGAACCCAGTCTCTCCAGTATGAACCCAGTCTCTCCAGTATGAACCAGTCTCACCAGTTAACCAGTTGGCGTTTCCGGGGATCTTCTTCCAGTAGTCTCCTGCAGGGTTTCTGTCAGAGACGCCGTAACGTCGAGCCAGATCTCCGTTTACACACCGAACCCAAACTGTCCGAGAGCTGAGGACCAGCTGACTGACCGCCAGACCTAAAGTACACAAACATGTACACGATTAAAGTACAGCATTCAAACACACGTGAGACCCTGAACACCAGTCAGTCCATCATTTACAGAACCTCCTGAACAGGTATTCGGATCAGAAAGACAGGCACGTACCTGGTACCAGCTCCCAGTCCGTCCCCACAGGCATCTCATCACTGAGTCCGGTCCTGACAAAGACGCTTCCTCTGTTGTCCAAGGCCCAGAGGAGGCGGTCGTTAGGACTCGTCTGAATACTGACCAGCTGCACTCCTATTGGCTGCAGAGACATGACGTCACAGTTGGATGATCAGGTGTGTGTGTGTTACCTGTACAGGGGGTTCTATGTGGATCCGGTGTGTGTGTGTTACCTGTACAGGGGGTTCTATGTGGATCCGGTGTGTGTGTGTTACCTGTACAGGGGGTTCTATGTGGATCCGGTGTGTGTGTGTTACCTGTACAGGGGGTTCTATGTGGATCCGGTGTGTGTGTTACCTGTACAGGGGGTTCTATGTGGATCCGGTGTGTGTGTGTTACCTGTACAGGGGGTTCTATGTGGATCCGGTGTGTGTGTTACCTGTACAGGGGGTTCTATGTGGATCCGGTGTGTGTGTGTACCTGTACAGGGGGTTCTATGTGGATCCGGTGTGTGTGTGTTACCTGTACAGGGGGTTCTATGTGGATCCGGTGTGTGTGTGTTACCTGTACAGAGGGTTCTATGTGGATCCGGTGTGTGTGTTACCTGTACAGGGGGTTCTATGTGGATCCGGTGTGTGTGTTACCTGTACAGGGGGTTCTATGTGGATCCGGTGTGTGTGTGTTACCTGTACAGGGGGTTCTATGTGGATCCGGTGTGTGTGTGTTACCTGTACAGGGGGTGTACAGGGGGTTCTATGTGGATCCGGTGTGTGTGTGTTACCTGTACAGGGGGTTCTATGTGGATCCGGTGTGTGTGTTACCTGTACAGGGGGTTCTATGTGGATCCGGTGTGTGTGTGTGTTACCTGTACAGGGGGTTCTATGTGGATCCGGTGTGTGTTACCTGTACAGGGGGTTCTATGTGGATCCGGTGTGTGTGTGTTACCTGTACAGGGGTGTACAGGGGGTTCTATGTGGATCCGGTGTGTGTGTGTTACCTGTACAGGGGGTTCTATGTGGATCCGGTGTGTGTGTTACCTGTACAGGGGGTTCTATGTGGATCCGGTGTGTGTGTGTTACCTGTACAGGGGGTTCTATGTGGATCCGGTGTGTGTGTGTTACCTGTACAGGGGGTTCTATGTGGATCCGGTGTGTGTGTGTTACCTGTACAGAGGGTTCTATGTGGATCCGGTGTGTGTGTGTTACCTGTACAGGGGGTTCTATGTGGATCCGGTGTGTGTGTGTGTTACCTGTACAGGGGGTTCTATGTGGATCCGGTGTGTGTGTGTGTTACCTGTACAGGGGGTTCTATGTGGATCCGGTGTGTGTGTGTTACCTGTACAGGGGGTTCTATGTGGATCCGGTGTGTGTGTGTTACCTGTACAGGGGGTTCTATGTGGATCCGGTGTGTGTGTGTTACCTGTACAGGGGGTTCTATGTGGATCCGGTGTGTGTGTGTTACCTGTACAGGGGGTTCTATGTGGATCCGGTGTGTGTGTGTTACCTGTACAGGGGGTTCTATGTGGATCCGGTGTGTGTGTGTTACCTGTACAGGGGGTTCTATGTGGATCCGGTGTGTGTGTGTTACCTGTACAGGGGGTTCTATGTGGATCCGGTGTGTGTGTTACCTGTACAGGGGGTTCTATGTGGATCCGGTGTGTGTGTTACCTGTACAGGGGGTTCTATGTGGATCCGGTGTGTGTGTGTTACCTGTACAGGGGGTTCTATGTGGATCCGGTGTGTGTGTGTTACCTGTACAGGGGGTTCTATGTGGATCCGGTGTGTGTGTGTTACCTGTACAGGGGGTTCTATGTGGATCCAGGCTGGCAGCATCATGCTCGGGTTCAGAGGCTGGGTTCCAACTCTGAAGTAAACGACTCCTCGACTGTCCACGGCCCAGACGTTCTGACTGCCGCAGCTCACACTGACCAGACGAACACTCCCTTTGACACACAGGTGACATTTTACCTGAACACACCTGTACACACACTTATATAACATGTGGGACCTTAAAACCTCATGGACTACTGAAACATCCTTTGGAACCCCCAGAAACTGGACCAATCAAACTGCCCCTGAGGTATCCTCAGGACCTGTAGAACCTGTAGCCCTTTGTGAATTTTGGCCATAAAGAAGTCACGGACGAACGCTGAAGTTTTCATTATTCACTCGTTCTGTTCTGTCTTTTCGGTTCCGCCATGTTTCATCACCTCAGGTAAAGTTTCAACATTCAACATCTCAAGGTTGATTTGATAAATTAGCAGTAACCAGTAAATACTCAGATTGTTCTGTGGTTCCATGAATAGTCCAGTAAATAAAGTCACTACGGTCGTTTGTTTATTTGATGTGGATCAGGGTCCTGCACCCCGAAGCCAGTTCAACAAACCCAGGATCTCTTTACGTTATCTGGCTTCACTAACCCGAACAATCGCGGTCCAGATAAGCGGTACCACGAAGCTGGTTATCAACTCGGTAACTCAACCCGGGGTTTCCCGACCCAGCCGGGACCACTGCAGCTGCAGGGAGAAGCGAACAGTAGTCTGTAATAATGTGTTCATGTGAGCTGGATGAAAACATCAGCCTTATTCTTTCAGCTCGGCTGTGACGGAGAAGGTGGGCGGAACATGACTACAGTCTCTGTGCTAGACTTTAAGAAAGCTACAAATCTAAAATTAACAGCCTACGTTCATATTAAAATTTAGTATTTTAATATCCTGCCAACTGCGATGGACTGGCGACCTGTCCAGGGTGTACCCCGCCTTTCGCCCCGATGTCAGCTGGGATTGGCTCCACCCCCCCGTGACCCTGTACGCAGGATAAGCGGTTGACGATGGATGGATAAGAAAAATGAAACCTGTTTATTTTAACGTATCATTTCAGAGCAGTTAGTAGGTTTACTGTAAAAACCTGCAGGTCTACAGTGACGTGAGGCTTTTAATCAGTCTCTGTAAGATGATGTCGCTCATTTCTTAGAGAGCTGATTGGTCAGTAGGCGGCGTCTTCATAGAGTCGATCTCTTATCTGGAACAGAACCTGCTCCGGAGCAGGTTAGCCGTTCAGCATCAGTTACCATGGCGATCTACCCGGGAAGAAGTGAACCGCCCTCGTGGTGCTGAAAACCCAGAGTTAAACCCGAAGTTTACCTGGATGAGCTACGCTCAGAAACCGGGGTGGTGATGGTTCAGTGGATAAGACACATGCCTTTGGTGTGAGAGACGCGGGTTCAAATCCACTGTGAGAGTCCAATGTGTCCCTGAGCGAGACACTTAACCCTCGTTGCTCCAGAGGCGTGCGACCTCTGACCTCTGACAGATATAGCAGCTGTAAGTCGAGGATCGAGGAGGCACAAATTTGGGAAATGAGAAAGGCCCTCTGACTCAGTGTTGATTCAACAGACTCTGACAGTCATGTGGTCTCTGACAGTGAGAAGGGCAGGGGAACTAAAAACAGACCTGAACCAGCAGTCAGGTTTCAGTCTGACATCAACACAGACTCCGTGTTGACCTCTGGATCTGTTACACAACCTGCAGCTGTCACAGAGAAACACAGTCTGTGCGTCACACTGTAACCTGACCCCCAAAAACACGAACACCTGACCCCCCAACAACACCTTTACAAAGTATTTCTCTTTCAGTATTCTGTGTATATATTGACATACTACATATTTTATATACTGCAGTACGACATCTACTCGTCGTGTTTAGATATTTATTTCAGGAAACCTCCCCTTCACTCTTCCGTCCAGCTGCTGTCAGCTCATATCAGCTACATAAATGCGACCTGTGACTCCGCCCACCTTCCACCTGTATGACCCGGGGTACGTACCGAGCTGGCTGAGGTCCAGGGGGGTCCAGTGGAGTCCGATGGGACAGGACGGAGACAGCGTCCGAATACTGACTCTGCCGTGCGTGTCCAAACCCCACAGAGCATCACGGCAGGCAGACAGGTGAGTCAGCTCCACCTGAGCACACAGGTAGAACCCAGTAGAACATCAGCAGAACACACAGGGAGAACTTCAGAGTCAATGCGGACCAGAGCCAGGTGTTTTTACCTCAGGTGGTAGAGGGACGGAGGAGGGGCGGAGCTCTCCATCCTGGTCCCAGACACAGAACAGATCCTTCCGGCTCTGAGCCAACCACAGGAACGTACCTGAGACACAGGTGAGACACAGGCAGACTAACGGTCAGGTGCGTTCAGAGTTAAAGGCAGGCGGTGGACCAGGACTGCTTGTTGAGGTCTGGGTGTGTGCAGTGTGCAGGTGTGTGACCTTCTCTGTGCGGGACAGCCGATGACGTGATGAAGGTCCATCTGGTGGCTGAGACGGTTCCTCTTGGAACAACGTTCTGCCAGAAGGTTCCTGAAGAAAACACAAACACCAGCTGAGAACCTGAACCCTGAATCTGAACCCCGCTCTGCAGGACTCTGCCTTCCCTACTGACCCACGAGACTGCCGCGGGCCAGGTGCAGCTGGTTCCGGCCAGAGGCGACCCAGACTCCGCTGGCGTTGGCGCTGACCAGGCTCGGCTGGCACTGCGAGTACTGCGACAGGAAGGCCACCACCCGCTCCACTGGCGCCCTGGTTACCGTGGCAACGCTCTGGGTGGCCTGCAGCAGCGTCTGGAACAGACTGCCCTGATCGAAGACCACGTAGTCCGAGATGCTGATCTGATGGGGGGACAGACAGTTAGACTCTGAAACGACGCCACATCTCCCATCACGCTGCTTTAACAAACAGGAAGTGGTTCGGCCCACCTGCCACCAGTGGTCGTCGTCCCCCTGCGGTCTGGACCCACAGATACCGGTTCTGAACCACAGGCTGCCACTGGCATCCAGGGCCCAGGCGGTACCACCGTCTCCCAGGGCAACGCACATCAAGTCCAGACCCTGAGCCTCACTGGGACACACACAGACACACACACAGACACACACACACACACAGACACACACACACACACACACACAGACACACACAGACACACACACACACAGACACACACACACACAGACACACACAGACACACACACACAGACACACACAGACACACACACACACACACACACACACACACACACACACACACACACACACACACACACACACAGACACACACACACACACACACAGACACACACACACACACACACACACACAGACACACACACACAGACACAGACACACACAGACACACACAGACACACACACACACAGACACACACACACACACAGACACACACACACACACACACACAGACACACACAGACACACACACACACACACACACACACACACACACACACAGACACACACACACACACACACACACAGACACACACACACACACACAGACCACACACACACACACACACACACACACACACACACAGACACAGACACACACACAGACACACACACACACACACACACAGACACACACACACACACACACACACACACACACACACACACACAGACACACACACACACACACAGACACACACACACACACACACACACACACACACACACAGACACACACATTAAGTGAATAAACCCTCAGCTTCAGCTTCAGCAGAGTCACATGGACTCTGATCTGACATCCAGACTGAAGTCCCATCTGCCGTAATACTACTACAGTAGTACTACAGTAGTACTACAGTAGCAGTAGTACCTGACGGTGTCGTACTTCCAGCCCTTTCCCTCGCTGCAGTACTACAGTAGTACTACAGTAGCAGTAGTACCTGACGGTGTCGTACTTCCAGCCCTTTCCCTCGCTGCAGTACTACAGTAGTACTACAGTAGCAGTAGTACCTGACGGTGTCGTACTTCCAGCCCTCGCCCTCGCTGCAGTACTACAGTAGTACTATAGTAGCAGTAGTACCTGACGGTGTCATACTTCCAGCCCTCGCCGCAGTACTACAGTAGTACTACAGTAGCAGTAGTACCTGACGGTGTCGTACTTCCAGCCCTTTCCCTCGCTGCAGTACTACAGTAGTACTACAGTAGCAGTAGTACCTGACGGTGTCGTACTTCCAGCCCTCGCCCTCGCTGCAGTACTACAGTAGTACTACAGTAGTACTACAGTAGCAGTAGTACCTGACGGTGTCGTACTTCCAGCCCTTTCCCTCGCTGCAGTACTACAGTAGTACTACTGCTACAGTAGTACTACAGTAGTACTACAGTAGCAGTAGTACCTGACGGTGTCGTACTTCCAGCCCTTTCCCTCGCTGTAGTACTACAGTAGTACTACTGCTACAGTAGTACTACAGTAGCAGTAGTACCTGACGGTGTCGTACTTCCAGCCCTTTCCCTCGCTGCAGTACTACAGTAGTACTACAGTAGCAGTAGTACCTGACGGTGTCGTACTTCCAGCCCTCGCCCTCGCTGCAGTAGCTGTTCAGGCCCTCTCTGTAGAACAGGGCCTTGTGCTCGCTCAGGGCCCAGACCACGCCTCCTCTCACACACACCTGGCTGAAGACGCAGGGCGAGTCCACCTTCACAGAGCGGGCGCAGGGCCGGTCCACGCTCAGACCTGAGGGACACACGGAGACAGCGGTTATTATGGAAACAGCGCGCAGGAAGTACCTGATGTATCCTGATGGGATATATAATTCTCCGGTGTGTTCTGGTCCAGGAGGATCCTGATCAGATACTGAACCACCTCAGCTGACTCGCTTCAATAAAAGGAGCAGTGCTCCTCCTCGGAGCTCCTGCGTCTCCATTAGAACCATTCTAATGTGTAAGGAACTGAAGCGGAACGCTTACACATTCATATCACTACTGTTCTTTCTGTAGTGTGGACAGAAACGTGATCAGTGACAGAAAAGTGAGCGGCAGATTGAAAGAGGACGCCCCCTGCTGGTCACACAGAGACACTACAGCTGCAGCAGGAACAGCAATAGGATTCTGGTTTTCAAAGACCAGTCAAGCAAAAAACAACATCAGACGGACTCAGGGAGTCCGGAGACAACCCTGTCTCGGAACTACAGCTGCCACGGAAACAGCTGTGTGTGTGTTGGTTACCTGTCTGCAGGTAGAGGTCTCCGTTGGTCCTGATGATCCAGGCGGAGTCGTCACTCAGAGCCACGAATCCCGTTTGCTCCACAGCTTTGTACCAGTGACGTTTTCCTTTAACTGATACTTTAGCACAAGCAAACGCCGTCATGCTCTTCTGCTCCACCTTCCACACCAGATTACCTGGTGGAGTTAGCCACAGTTAGCATTCAGCTAATGCAACATCCACCTGTACAGCTGGCCCGCTGCTGCCTGCTGTAAAGGGAGATAACCCAAAGGGGTGGTGATGGAACAGTGGATAAGATCAGAGTGTCCCTGAGCAGGACACTTAACCCCGAGACTCTGACAGATACAGCAGGTGTGTGTCGCTAAATGTTTAACTGGAAGCGTCTGATGTTTTAAATAAAACTACAAACTGACTCAAGCTCACCTGAAGGTGATAACGCCACCTGGTGGACGTTGTCTTCAAAACGCTGCCAGGTGAGTCCAGTTTCAGGCAGAGGGCTGCAGAACAGTCCTCCTTTAAAGTCCAGACACCACACATACCTGAAACACACGTCACCTGTCAGCATCCACCACACATACCTGAAACACACAGGTCATACCAGAGTCACCCGAGGGTCTGCTGACCACCCACCTGTCAGTCACCTGCAGGCTCAGTATTCCACATCCCGGTCCTGAGTAGCCCATCCAGCTCTCTGCCAACTAACCAGAGGAACAATAAGAATACAGTACCTGATGATGGACTCACCTGGTCAGGTCTTTGTGTGTCTCACCTGGTCAGCTTTCGGTGTGTCTCTGTCCTGAGCATCCTGGTCCAACTTTCTGTCTGCTGTGTTCTCCGTCTGAGTGGACGGACAGTTGAGGACCTCCCCCCCGCTGCCAGCAGGGGGCACAGTGTGACAGTAGATGTCTCCTTCTTCATCACTGGACATACTGGGTTTTCTGTCCAGACAAGACACCGTAGAATAAAACATTTGGTCCACCAGACCAGCAGGGGGCGCCAGGTCCTCATCCTATACAGACACAGGAAACTTAGGATGTAATTAGATTCTTCTGACCGATGCTTTACTCACAAAAAATGTAGTTCAGTGCATTCAAACAGGACATTGCAGTGTGAAAAGGGGGTTTTGAGTCTGTGATAAGAGACGGGACTTCTGTGGGGAGTTCAGTCCACCACTAAAGAGCCAGAACAGAGAAACCTGAACAAGATCAACAGAGTCCATCAGCAGATGAGGAGTGTAGAGTTTGACTATGACTATTGACTACTCATACATGTATGTATGACCCACCTCCTCCTCCTCCTCCGGTCCAATCAGAGGGCTCAGAAACTCGTCTTCCTGCTCCTCCATTGGCTGCTGCTCCTGTCCGTCCTCCTCCTCAGCGTTGTGCATGTAGGAAAAGGTGCACTCCAACAGCAGATCCACATCTGGAGTCGGTGGGACAACCTCTGCCTCTGCCCCAGGACCAGAGGCTTCCAGACCCTGGAGGAGCAGGGAACCTGGAGGCAGGAGGGAGCTGGGACAGGAAGACATGAGACAGACGGTAAGCAGGTGACCAGCATGAGACACAACACTGTTTCTGTCTGCTGGTCTTCAGCTACTAACCCAGACTCGATGGGGGACGACTCCTCTCCATCCTTTATACCCTGACTCTCCTGTGAGTCCTGGTCATGGTTTGGTTCTGGGGAGTCCTGGTTCTGAAGGTCCAGACCGATAAGGGAGGCTTGGTCACTCAGAGGAGTCCCACTTCCTCCGTCACTACAGCTGCTGTCCTGGACTACAAACATGGAGTCTGAACAGCTGCTCTCAGAGAGACGGTTCCCACTGCTGCTGTCTGAGGACGGAGACAGAGAGACAAACCATTCAGTCAGAGACATGTCCCAACTAACTGTCTGTCTCTCAGTCTCTTTGTCTGTCTCTCTCTGCCTCAGTCTGTCTCTTAGTCTGTCTCAGTCTGTCTCAGTCTGTCTCTTAGTCTGTCTCAGTCTGTCTCAGGCAGTCTGTCTCTCTCTGTCTCAGTCTGTTTGTCTGTCTCTCTCTGCCTCAGTCTCTCAGTCTGTCTCTCTCTGTCTCAGTCTGTTAGTCTGTCTCTCTCTGCCTCAGTCTGTCTCTCAGTCTGTCTCAGTCTGTCTCAGGCAGTCTGTCTCTCTCTGCCTCAGTCTGTCAGTCTGTCTCTCTCTGTCTCAGTCTGTTAGTCTGTCTCTCTCTGCCTCAGTCTGTCTCTTAGTCTGTCTCAGTCTGTCTCAGTCTGTCTCAGGCTGTCTGTCAGTCTGTCTCTCTGTCTCAGTCTGTTAGTCTGTCTCTCTCTGTCTCAGTCTGTCTCTCAGTCTGTCTGTCTGTTAGTCTGTCTCTGTCTGCCTCAGTCTGTCTCTTAGTCTGTCTCAGTCTGTCTCAGGCAGTCTGTCAGTCTGTCTCTCTCTCTCTGTCTGTCTCTCAGTCTGTCTGTCTGTTAGTCTGTCTCTGTCTGCCTCAGTCTGTCTCTCAGTCTGTCTCAGTCTGTCTCAGTCTGTCTCTCTCTGCCTCAGTCTGTCAGTCTGTCTCTCTCTGTCTCAGTCTGTCTCAGTCTGTTAGTCTGTCTCTCTCTCTGTCTCAGTCTGTCTCTCTCTCTGCCTCAGTCTGTCTGTTAGTCTGTCTCTCTCTCTGCCTCAGTCTGTCTCTCAGTCTGTCTCAGTCCGTCTCTCAGTCTGTCTGTCTGTTAGTCTGTCTCTCTCTCTGTCTCAGTCTGTCTCTCTCTCTGCCTCAGTCTGTCTCTCAGTCTGTCTCAGTCCGTCTCTCAGTCTGTCTGTCTGTTAGTCTGTCTCTCTCTCTGTCTCAGTCTGTCTCTCTCTCTGCCTCAGTCTGTCTCAGTCTGTCTCAGTCCGTCTCTCAGTCTGTCTGTCTGTTAGTCTGTCTCTCTCTGTCTCAGTCTGTCTCTCTCTGCCTCAGTCTGTCTCTCTCTCTGCCTCAGTCTGTCTCTCAGTCTGCCTCAGTCCGTCTCTCAGTCTGTCTCAGTCTGTTAGTCTGTCTCTCTCTCTGTCTCAGTCCGTCTCTCAGTCTGTCTGTCTGTTAGTCTGTCTCTCTCTGTCTCAGTCTGTCTCTCTCTCTCTGTCTCAGTCTGTCTCTCTCTCTGTCTCAGTCCGTCTCTCAGTCTGTCTCTCTCTGTCTCAGTCTGTCTCTCTCTCTGCCTCAGTCTGTCTCTCAGTCTGTCTGTCTGTTAGTCTGTCTCTCTCTGCCTCAGTCTGTCTCAGTCTGTCTCTCTCTGCCTCAGTCTGTCAGTCTGTCTCTCTCTGTCTCAGTCTGTCTCTCTCTGCCTCAGTCTGTCTCTCTCTCTGCCTCAGTCTGTCTCTCAGTCTGTCTGTCTGTTAGTCTGTCTCTCTCTGTCTCAGTCTGTCTCAGTCCGTCTCTCAGTCTGTCTGTCTGTTAGTCTGTCTCTCTCTGCCTCAGTCTGTCTCTCAGTCTGTCTGTCTGTTAGTCTGTCTCTCTCTCTGTCTCAGTCTGTCTCTCTCTCTGTTAGTCTGTCTCTCTCTGTCTCAGTCTGTCTCTCTCTCTGTCGTCCTGCTTGCCTTGTCGTCTCCTCTTCTTCTTCTTCACTCTGATGGCTTTCACCACCAGCTCCTGCAGCATCTCCCCCTGACCCAGGGGGGCGCTGTAGCGCCTGCAGCTCAGCTCGCAGGATGTGGTCACCGGGGCGTTTCCATGGAGACTGTCCCAGGAAGTGACAGAGCTGCTGCGGCTCCGAGAGCTGGTGGTGAACAAACCGGACCGCTGGCCGAGCTGCTCCGCCTGCTGGACATGGAGCAGAACAGGTCACATTACAGACAGTAACTGGTAACCAGGGTGGAAATGTGTCAGCCAGTGAAACCAGTCACCTCCAGCTGCTCCTCTGCCTCCTCCACTTCCTCCACTCCTTCCTCCTCGTCCTCTTTCTCTCCCTCCTCGCTGTGCCTCTCCCATCCTCCTCCTCCTCCTCCTCCTCCCTCTTCCCTCCCGCCCGCCTCTACGATGATAGCCATGGTTCTGATTGGCTGAGCTGTTTCCACTGATCCCATCGGTGGGAGGACGGTGGGTGTGGCCAAAGGAGAGGACAGGCGGACAGAGAGCTCGGACACTGAGGAACAGAGACGTAGTATTTTAAATATTAGTAGTAATGTGTTTGGTAGTGGCGGCCGTAATAACAGCTGGGTCAGACCTTCAGGCTTTGTGTTAGTATGAGGTGTTTAAAGTCGGGCACCGGGGTCGGGTGGCTGCCGCAGCAGCAGAGGTGGTGTTACCTACAGTTGGAGGCCCGTCCCCCTGTGCTGCTGGAGGTGTACTTCAGTACTTCAGCAGGAGGTTAAAAGAGAGGCAGTGTACGGTTAGGGTGGGCAGTTACAGCTGTAGCAGCGGTACTATTAGCAGTAGCAGCAGAGATGCTCACCAGTCTCTGAGCTAACTAGAGAGCTAGAGTCCAAGTCAAGTCTCTCGTGGTTATAATGAATGTTGTATCACCTGCTGCATTCAGTCCAGGCTGCCTGGATAAAACTGCAGAGCTATAAGGAAAGTCTGTAACTGTGACCTGTTTTCACTTACAGAGCACAACCAATGTGCAGTGCAATTCATGACAGCTTATTAATTACTGCAAGTCAACACCAACCGCAGACTCTCAAAGCCAGTGTAACGTTCTAACTACATAAAGCTGCAACTTTACACAATCAACAATAAACCTGTGACCTGTTTTCAGCCAACGTTAATAATTAACATGATGGCAGCCATCACGTTAATTAACATAATCATTTACGTCCAGCGGGACATAAATTATTACGTTAATCGACCACCACTAGTTTAGAAAGCAAACAAACGCTCATTCATCTTCTCATAATGATCAACAGTCGGAGTTAACCTCCCGAAGGTCGTAGCTAAAGCAAGAAGCAAGCTAACGTTAGATGGCCGTGTTCACTGACCTCAGGTTACTAACCTATTTTGCGTTCAGCGCTTCTTTGTTTGGGTCTTGTTGTATGAAGTTTTTTTGTCAACTCTCTCTCTCTCATTGTTCACGAGTCCCGCACCTCAAGTCTGAGTCAAGTCTGAAATCTTTTGAGGACGAGTCTCAAGTCGGACTCGAGTCCCCATCTCATAGTATTAACAGTAGTACTCACAGTTGGAGGCCAGTCCCTCTGGGCTGTTAGAGAGACGGATGATGTCTCTGTCTCCTTTCAGGATGAAGATCTCGTTGTCACAACAAGACACTGAAACAATATCTCCACTGCTCTCCAAGGCTCCGATTATCACCTGAAAACATCGAACACAAAACAATGAGATCAACATCCAAGAACATCCAACAACAACATCCACCAACAACAACAACAACATCCACACAACAACAACAACAACAACATCCAACAACAACATCCACCAACAACAACATCCACAACATCCAACAACAACAACATCCACAACATCCACCAACAACATCCAACAACAACAACATCCACAACATCCAACAACAACATCCACCAACAACAACATCCAACAACAACAACATCCAACAACAACATCCACCAACAACAACATCCACAACATCCACCAACAACAACATCCACAACATCCAACAACAACAACATCCACAACATCCACCAACAACATCCAACAATAACAACATCCACAACATCCAACAACAACATCCACCAACAACAACATCCAACAACAACAACATCCACCAACAACAACATCCAACAACAACATCCACACACAACAACATCCAACAACAACAACATCCACCAACAACATCCACCAACAACAACATCCACAACATCCAACAACAACATCCACCAACAACAACAATAACAACATCCAACAACAACAACATCCACAACATCCACCAACAACATCCAACAATAACAACATCCACAACATCCAACAACAACATCCACCAACAACACATCCACCAATAACAACATCCAACAACAACATCCAACAACATCCAACAACAACATCCACACAACAACAACATCCAAAAACAACATCCACACAACAACATCCAACAACAACATCCAACAACAACAACATCCAACAACATCCACACAACAACAACATCCACACACAACAACATCCAACAACAACAACATCCAACAACAACATCCAACAACAACAACATCCACACAACAACATCCAACAACAACAACATCCAACAACATCCACACAACAACAACATCCAACAACAACAACAGCCAACATCCAACAACAACATCCAACAACAACACATCCAACAACAACAACAGCCAACATCCAACAACAACAACATCCAACAACAACAACATCCAACAACAACAACAGCCAACATCCAACAACAACATCCACACAACAACAACATCCACACAACAACAACATCCACACAACAACAACATCCAACATCCAACAACAACATCCAACATCCAACAACAACATCCAACAACAACATCCAACAACATCAACATCCAACAACATCCAACAACAACAACATCCAACAACATCCACACAACAACAACATCCAACAACATCCACACAACAACAACATCCAACAACAACAACAGCCAACATCCAACAACAACATCCAACAACAACAACATCCACCATCCACACAACAACATCCAACAACAACAACATCCACCATCCACACAACAACATCCAACAACAACAACATCCAACAACAACAACATCCACCATCCACACAACAACATCCAACAACAACAACATCCACCATCCACACAACAACATCCAACAACAACAACATCCACCATCCACACAACAACATCCAACAACAACAACATCCACCATCCACACAACAACATCCAACAACAACAACATCCAACAACAACAACATCCACCATCCACACAACAACATCCAACAACAACAACATCCACCATCCACACAACAACAACAACATCCAACAACAACAACAACATCCACCATCCACACAACAACATCCAACAACAACAACATCCAACAACAACAACATCCACCATCCACACAACAACATCCAACAACAACAACATCCACCATCCACACAACAACAACATCCACCATCCACACAACAACAACAACATCCAACAACAACAACATCCAACAACAACAACATCCACCATCCACACAACAACAACATCCACCATCCACACAACAACATCCAACAACAACAACATCCACCATCCACACAACAACAACATCCACCATCCACACAACAACAACAACCTCCAACAACAACAACATCCACACAATAAATGCAGTACTCGTTAACAAAGTACTATAAGTATTTGCAGTACCTCGTTGAGACAGTCCAGGACGTAGATGCTGTACTCGTTCCAGCTGAGGATCCAGCCCTCTCTGAGGAAACAGCTGAGCAGACCGAGCTGTCTGTCTGCCGGACGATAAGCTCCGATTGGATCAGAACGAGGGAACAACTCAAACTGAGGAATCTGAGTCAGACAGAGAACATGTAATTTATGTTCTTATTAACAGCCATTTTTCTTGGATGAGTAAGTACAAACAGATGCAGTAGCAGGAGTACCGGTAGCTCTAGTGAATGCTACCAGCTGCTGCTGTAGTACCGCTACTAAATGTTAGCAGGACGTTCCCAGAGCACCTGTGTGGTGAAGAGTGGCTTCAGCAGTCTGGTGTCTTCCACCTGTCCTCTGATGTCGGACCTCCACAGTCTGAGTCCAGGTCGAGCAGCAAACACCTGAAGATCGCTCTGTTTACAGAGACCCGGCAGGAAGCAGGCTCCGAACCTGCCGCTGCTGCGACCAACACCAGAAATACTGTTAGAGTACTACAAAAACTACTAATCCTAAGTAAAAACTATCATGAGCGTGTTACTACAAATTAAATCAATTAATTAAAAAAATTAATTGACGTATCATTCAAATAGGTATATAGAAATATTCAACTATATGTGCAATTATTTATAGGGACAATTACAGTAGAATATTAAAATACCATAATACTATTTCACAGTGAAAGCATTGTTGCAGTACATGTACTGTGAGGGCTGTGAAACAACTTGACCCCTGACACTTTCTTCCCGCGGGTCTTCTGCAGGTTTTGTTTGAAATCATAGAGCCCTAGTTTGTTTTTGTGTATGTTCTAGAGCAACGGTATCTAATAAGAATGTACATTTGTGGTTTTGGAGGCGTCCTCTAAACATTTATTTATTCTTGTCTATTCTCCATGTTGGACCCAAATGTTTTGTTTGTTCAGAGTTCCGGTTCTTTCTCTCTGTGTGTGGACGGTGTCTTGACATCTTCTTCTGTCTTTGTGTAGTTTGTCCTTTTCCAGGTTTCCTTGGTGATACAAGGTCATGTGACTCAGATCTGTTTGGTGACACCTGCTGCTAACACCGCCTCTTTTATGTGAGTGCGCTCCCGGCTGGTTGTTGTTCAGTCCTTAGTGCGTTTTATATTTCATGCATGTTGAATATCACGTGTATGTAGTGTGTTTACCTCTTGCGGGGCTTTGAACCCAGCTGCTGGACTTCCTGTTTCTGTGTGCAGTAAAGCAGAGATCTCTGATGTGTAGAGACCAGCAGCACCTGGTGGCTGTACTCCATCTGAACCACACCTGAAGACTCCTCCAACAGCAGCACAGGTTTACACACCCCCTGCACACACACACAGGGCCAGGAGGGTGTGTGTTATCTAGAGACTACACGCTCTGTATAAACACCGACATCATTTCCGTTGCAAAGACCAAAGTGCTGACATCCGTTGAAACAGACGGTTCACAAAGATCTTATCGTGGCAGACAGCCCAAACATTCCATCTGCATTACAGTCAACTAGTGATGCGCAGATCTGCACGCACGTAGGAATCACAGTGCACCGCGGCGATCATAGGACGAGTGACGTTACGTGCCCCCGGGCCCTTTCAGACTTCTACAGCCTGAAACACGTGAGTAAGTGAGTGATGTCATATTTACAAAAACAACATAAGCTCGACATTTCCCACGCAACTCCCGTCACTGTGCAGGTGTTTAACAGACCGCATCTGAAGAGCGGAAACTAACCGAGATGTTGATTCTGACAACAACTGCATCGCTGCAAGCTTCGGGGTAACATCAGTCTGCACCGTTTGACTGCTGACGATCTGTTTCCAAACTAATACTTATCAAATCTTACCTGATGAGCTCCCCGACCCGTTAATCTGGACCCGTCGCACACTGAGAAGGCCCTGCCTGCCAGCTGGATTTAAAAGGTTGAATAAACGAGTTTGCAGAGCAAAAAGCTCAGGACGGTGTGGCTGCCATGGGAAGAAAACCAGTAATCAATCCACACGTGTGTGTTTTGTGTTGTGCTTTGAACAGACATGTCATGTTTTCATGTGTGATGGTGGCGTCACCCGTTTTAATCTGCTCCACCAGCGATCTGTCAGCTGGTCCATCACAGTCAGACTTCTTTATAGAGTGCTGTTTGGTTTCATTTCGTTTAGCTGTCAGCTGTGCACTGCGAGCTTTCACTTATTTAATTTGCTACTGACATTATGCTACTTTGATTGTGACGGGAGGGCCCGCTGTGACCATCTTGCATCAGGGGCCCCGCGCCGATTCATTACGACCCTGCTCTTTTATCACCCGGCCCCCCAGTCTACTATTTCTGCCATTTCATAGACAAAATGATTCATCCAGAAAATATTCTCCAAATTCACCAGTTTTATGTTGGTTTAAAAGTGTAGTGTGGGCGTGGCCTCACCTGGTCCAGGTCCAGAGACGAGAACACAACTCGTCCTTTATCATCTCCAGAGAAAAGCTTCATCCCGTTGGCACTCCACGCCAAAGACGTTACGGAGCCTTTATGGAGGCCAACCACATCGAAACGCCTCAACTACAGAGAGAGAGACAGGTGTGTTAGACCTACAGAGAGACAGACAGGTGTGTTAGACCTACAGAGAGAGAGACAGACAGGTGTGTCAGACCTACAGAGAGACAGACAGGTGTGTTAGACCTACAGAGAGACAGACAGGTGTGTTAGACCTACAGAGAGAGAGACAGACAGGTGTGTCAGACCTACAGAGAGACAGACAGGTGTGTTAGACCTACAGAGAGACAGACAGGTGTGTTAGACCTACAGAGAGAGAGACAGACAGGTGTGTTAGACCTACAGAGAGACAGACAGGTGTGTTAGACCTACAGAGAGACAGACAGGTGTGTTAGACCTACAGAGAGAGAGACAGACAGGTGTGTTAGACCTACAGAGAGACAGACAGGTGTGTTAGACCTACAGAGAGACAGACAGGTGTGTTAGACCTACAGAGAGAGAGACAGACAGGTGTGTCAGACCTACAGAGAGACAGACAGGTGTGTCAGACCTACAGAGAGACAGACAGGTGTGTTAGACCTACAGAGAGACAGACAGGTGTGTCAGACCTACAGAGAGACAGACAGGTGTGTTAGACCTACAGAGAGAGAGACAGACAGGTGTGTTAGACCTACAGAGAGACAGACAGGTGTGTTAGACCTACAGAGAGAGACAGACAGGTGTGTTAGACCTACAGAGAGACAGACAGGTGTGTTAGACCTACAGAGAGAGAGACAGACAGGTGTGTCAGACCTACAGAGAGAGACAGACAGGTGTGTTAGACCTACAGAGAGACAGACAGGTGTGTTAGACCTACAGAGAGAGAGACAGACAGGTGTGTTAGACCTACAGAGAGAGAGACAGACAGGTGTGTTAGACCTACAGAGACAGACAGGTGTGTTAGACCTACAGAGAGAGAGACAGACAGGTGTGTTAGACCTACAGAGAGAGAGACAGACAGGTGTGTTAGACCTACAGAGAGACAGACAGGTGTGTTAGACCTACAGAGAGAAAGACAGGTGTGTTAGACCTACTGAGACAGACAGGTGTGTTAGACCTACTGAGACAGACAGGTGTGTTAGACCTACAGAGAGACAGACAGGTGTGTTAGACCTACAGAGAGACAGACAGGTGTGTTAGACCTACTGAGACAGACAGGTGTGTTAGACCTACAGAGAGACAGACAGGTGTGTTAGACCTACAGAGAGACAGACAGGTGTGTTAGACCTACAGAGAGACAGACAGGTGTGTCAGACCTACTGAGACAGACAGGTGTGTTAGACCTACAGAGACAGACAGGTGTGTTAGACCTACAGAGAGAGAGACAGACAGGTGTGTTAGACCTACAGAGAGAGACAGACAGGTGTGTCAGACCTACAGAGAGACAGACAGGTGTGTTAGACCTACAGAGAGAGAGACAGACAGGTGTGTTAGACCTACAGAGAGAGAGACAGACAGGTGTGTCAGACCTACAGAGAGACAGACAGGTGTGTCAGACCTACAGAGAGAGCGAGACAGACAGGTGTGTCAGACCTACAGAGAGACAGACAGGTGTGTCAGACCTACAGAGAGAGAGACAGACAGGTGTGTTAGACCTACAGAGAGAGAGACAGACAGGTGTGTCAGACCTACAGAGAGAGAGACAGGTGTGTTAGACCTACAGAGAGAGAGACAGACAGGTGTGTTAGACCTACAGAGAGAGACAGACAGGTGTGTCAGACCTACAGAGAGAGAGACAGATAGGTGTGTCAGACCTACAGAGAGAGAGACAGACAGGTGTGTCAGACCTACAGAGAGAGACAGACAGGTGTGTCATACCTACAGAGAGAGAGACAGACAGGTGTGTCAGACCTACAGAGAGAGAGACAGGTGTGTTAGACCTACAGAGAGAGAGACAGACAGGTGTGTTAGACCTACAGAGAGAGAGACAGACAGGTGTGTCATACCTACAGAGAGAGAGACAGACAGGTGTGTCAGACCTACAGAGAGAGAGACAGACAGGTGTGTCAGACCTACAGAGAGAGAGACAGACAGGTGTGTCAGACCTACAGAGAGAGAGACAGACAGGTGTGTTAGACCTACAGAGAGACAGACAGGTGTGTCAGACCTACAGAGAGACAGACAGGTGTGTCAGACCTACAGAGAGACAGACAGGTGTGTCAGACCTACAGAGAGAGCGAGACAGACAGGTGTGTCAGACCTACAGAGAGAGAGACAGACAGGTGTGTCAGACCTACAGAGAGAGAGACAGACAGGTGTGTCAGACCTACAGAGAGAGAGACAGACAGGTGTGTCAGACCTACAGAGAGACAGACAGGTGTGTCAGACCTACAGAGAGAGCGAGACAGACAGGTGTGTCAGACCTACAGAGAGACAGACAGGTGTGTTAGACCTACAGAGAGACAGACAGGTGTGTTAGACCTACAGAGAGACAGACAGGTGTGTCAGACCTACAGAGAGAGAGACAGACAGGTGTGTCAGACCTACAGAGAGAGAGACAGACAGGTGTGTTAGACCTACAGAGAGAGACAGACAGGTGTGTCAGACCTACAGAGAGAGAGACAGGTGTGTCAGACCTACAGAGAGACAGACAGGTGTGTCAGACCTACAGAGAGAGAGACAGACAGGTGTGTCAGACCTACAGAGAGAGAGACAGACAGGTGTGTCAGACCTACAGAGAGAGAGACAGACAGGTGTGTCAGACCTACAGAGAGAGAGACAGACAGGTGTGTAGACCTACAGAGAGAGACAGACAGGTGTGTCAGACCTACAGAGAGAGAGACAGGTGTGTCAGACCTACAGAGAGACAGACAGGTGTGTCAGACCTACAGAGAGAGAGACAGACAGGTGTGTCAGACCTACAGAGAGAGAGACAGACAGGTGTGTCAGACCTACAGAGAGAGAGACAGACAGGTGTGTCAGACCTACAGAGAGAGACAGACAGGTGTGTCAGACCTACAGAGAGAGAGACAGGTGTGTTAGACCTACAGAGAGAGACAGACAGGTGTGTCAGACCTACAGAGAGAGAGACAGGTGTGTCAGACCTACAGAGAGACAGACAGGTGTGTCAGACCTACAGAGAGAGAGACAGACAGGTGTGTCAGACCTACAGAGAGAGAGACAGACAGGTGTGTCAGACCTACAGAGAGAGAGACAGACAGGTGTGTCAGACCTACAGAGAGAGACAGACAGGTGTGTCAGACCTACAGAGAGAGAGACAGGTGTGTCAGACCTACAGAGAGACAGACAGGTGTGTCAGACCTACAGAGAGAGCGAGACAGACAGGTGTGTCAGACCTACAGAGAGACAGACAGGTGTGTCAGACCTACAGAGAGAGACAGACAGGTGTGTCAGACCTACAGAGAGAGAGACAGACAGGTGTGTCAGACCTACAGAGAGAGAGACAGGTGTGTCAGACCTACAGAGAGAGAGACAGGTGTGTTAGACCTACAGAGAGAGACAGACAGGTGTGTTAGACCTACAGAGAGAGAGACAGACAGGTGTGTCAGACCTACAGAGAGAGAGACAGACAGGTGTGTCAGACCTACAGAGAGAGAGACAGACAGGTGTGTCAGACCTACAGAGAGAGACAGACAGGTGTGTCATACAGAGAGAGAGACAGACAGGTGTGTCAGACCTACAGAGAGACAGACAGACAGGTGTGTCAGACCTACAGAGAGAGACAGACAGGTGTGTCATACCTACAGAGAGAGAGACAGACAGGTGTGTCAGACCTACAGAGAGAGAGACAGGTGTGTTAGACCTACAGAGAGAGAGACAGACAGGTGTGTCAGACCTACAGAGAGAGAGACAGGTGTGTTAGACCTACAGAGAGAGAGACAGACAGGTGTGTTAGACCACAGAGAGACAGACAGGTGTGTCAGACCTACAGAGAGAGAGACAGACAGGTGTGTTAGACCACAGAGATACAGACAGGTGTGTTAGACCCACAGAGAGAGAGACAGGTGTGTTAGACCTACAGAGAGACAGACAGGTGTGTTAGACCTACTGAGACAGACAGGTGTGTTAGACCTACAGAGAGACAGACAGGTGTGTTAGACCTACAGAGAGACAGACAGGTGTGTTAGACCTACAGAGAGACAGACAGGTGTGTCAGACCTACTGAGACAGACAGGTGTGTTAGACCTACAGAGACAGACAGGTGTGTTAGACCTACAGAGAGAGAGACAGACAGGTGTGTTAGACCTACAGAGAGAGACAGACAGGTGTGTCAGACCTACAGAGAGACAGACAGGTGTGTTAGACCTACAGAGAGAGAGACAGACAGGTGTGTTAGACCTACAGAGAGAGAGACAGACAGGTGTGTCAGACCTACAGAGAGAGAGACAGATAGGTGTGTCAGACCTACAGAGAGAGAGACAGACAGGTGTGTCAGACCTACAGAGAGAGACAGACAGGTGTGTCATACCTACAGAGAGAGAGACAGACAGGTGTGTCAGACCTACAGAGAGAGAGACAGGTGTGTTAGACCTACAGAGAGAGAGACAGACAGGTGTGTTAGACCTACAGAGAGAGAGACAGACAGGTGTGTCATACCTACAGAGAGAGAGACAGACAGGTGTGTCAGACCTACAGAGAGACAGACAGGTGTGTCAGACCTACAGAGAGAGAGACAGACAGGTGTGTCAGACCTACAGAGAGAGAGACAGACAGGTGTGTTAGACCTACAGAGAGACAGACAGGTGTGTCAGACCTACAGAGAGACAGACAGGTGTGTCAGACCTACAGAGAGACAGACAGGTGTGTCAGACCTACAGAGAGAGCGAGACAGACAGGTGTGTCAGACCTACAGAGAGAGACAGACAGGTGTGTCAGACCTACAGAGAGAGAGACAGACAGGTGTGTTAGACCTACAGAGAGAGACAGGTGTGTTAGACCTACAGAGAGAGAGACAGACAGGTGTGTCAGACCTACAGAGAGACAGACAGGTGTGTCAGACCTACAGAGAGAGCGAGACAGACAGGTGTGTCAGACCTACAGAGACAGACAGGTGTGTTAGACCTACAGAGAGACAGACAGGTGTGTCAGACCTACAGAGAGACAGACAGGTGTGTCAGACCTACAGAGAGAGCGAGACAGACAGGTGTGTCAGACCTACAGAGAGACAGACAGGTGTGTTAGACCTACAGAGAGACAGACAGGTGTGTCAGACCTACAGAGAGACAGACAGGTGTGTCAGACCTACAGAGAGACAGACAGGTGTGTCAGACCTACAGAGAGAGCGAGACAGACAGGTGTGTCAGACCTACAGAGAGAGACAGACAGGTGTGTCAGACCTACAGAGAGAGAGACAGACAGGTGTGTCAGACCTACAGAGAGAGAGACAGGTGTGTCAGACCTACAGAGAGAGAGACAGACAGGTGTGTCAGACCTACAGAGAGAGAGACAGGTGTGTCAGACCTACAGAGAGAGAGACAGACAGGTGTGTTAGACCTACAGAGAGAGACAGACAGGTGTGTCAGACCTACAGAGAGAGAGACAGACAGGTGTGTCAGACCTACAGAGAGAGACAGACAGGTGTGTCAGACCTACAGAGAGAGCGAGACAGACAGGTGTGTCAGACCTACAGAGAGACAGACAGGTGTGTTAGACCTACAGAGAGACAGACAGGTGTGTCAGACCTACAGAGAGACAGACAGGTGTGTCAGACCTACAGAGAGAGCGAGACAGACAGGTGTGTCAGACCTACAGAGAGACAGACAGGTGTGTTAGACCTACAGAGAGACAGACAGGTGTGTCAGACCTACAGAGAGACAGACAGGTGTGTCAGACCTACAGAGAGACAGACAGGTGTGTCAGACCTACAGAGAGAGCGAGACAGACAGGTGTGTCAGACCTACAGAGAGACAGACAGGTGTGTCAGACCTACAGAGAGAGAGACAGACAGGTGTGTTAGACCTACAGAGAGAGAGACAGGTGTGTCAGACCTACAGAGAGAGAGACAGACAGGTGTGTCAGACCTACAGAGAGAGAGACAGGTGTGTCAGACCTACAGAGAGAGAGACAGACAGGTGTGTTAGACCTACAGAGAGAGACAGACAGGTGTGTCAGACCTACAGAGAGAGAGACAGACAGGTGTGTCAGACCTACAGAGAGAGACAGACAGGTGTGTCAGACCTACAGAGAGAGAGACAGACAGGTGTGTTAGACCTACAGAGAGAGACAGACAGGTGTGTCAGACCTACAGAGAGAGAGACAGGTGTGTCAGACCTACAGAGAGACAGACAGGTGTGTCAGACCTACAGAGAGAGAGACAGACAGGTGTGTCAGACCTACAGAGAGAGAGACAGACAGGTGTGTCAGACCTACAGAGAGAGACAGACAGGTGTGTTAGACCTACAGAGAGAGAGACAGGTGTGTCAGACCTACAGAGAGACAGACAGGTGTGTCAGACCTACAGAGAGAGCGAGACAGACAGGTGTGTCAGACCTACAGAGAGACAGACAGGTGTGTCAGACCTACAGAGAGAGACAGACAGGTGTGTCAGACCTACAGAGAGAGAGACAGACAGGTGTGTTAGACCTACAGAGAGAGAGACAGACAGGTGTGTCAGACCTACAGAGAGAGAGACAGGTGTGTTAGACCTACAGAGAGAGACAGACAGGTGTGTTAGACCTACAGAGAGAGACAGACAGGTGTGTCAGACCTACAGAGAGAGAGACAGATAGGTGTGTCAGACCTACAGAGAGAGAGACAGACAGGTGTGTCAGACCTACAGAGAGAGAGACAGACAGGTGTGTCAGACCTACAGAGAGAGACAGACAGGTGTGTCATACCTACAGAGAGAGAGACAGACAGGTGTGTCAGACCTACAGAGAGACAGACAGGTGTGTTAGACCTACAGAGAGAGAGACAGACAGGTGTGTCAGACCTACAGAGAGAGAGACAGACAGGTGTGTCAGACCTACAGAGAGAGAGACAGACAGGTGTGTCAGACCTACAGAGAGAGACAGACAGGTGTGTCATACCTACAGAGAGAGAGACAGACAGGTGTGTCAGACCTACAGAGAGAGAGACAGACAGGTGTGTCAGACCTACAGAGAGAGACAGACAGGTGTGTCATACCTACAGAGAGAGAGACAGACAGGTGTGTCAGACCTACAGAGAGAGAGACAGGTGTGTTAGACCTACAGAGAGAGAGACAGACAGGTGTGTCAGACCTACAGAGAGAGAGACAGGTGTGTTAGACCTACAGAGAGAGAGACAGACAGGTGTGTTAGACCCACAGAGAGACAGACAGGTGTGTCAGACCTACAGAGAGAGAGACAGACAGACAGGTGTGTCAGACCTACAGAGAGAGAGACAGACAGGTGTGTTAGACCCACAGAGATACAGACAGGTGTGTCAGACCTACAGAGAGAGAGACAGACAGGTGTGTCAGACCTACAGAGAGAGAGACAGACAGGTGTGTTAGACCTACAGAGAGAGAGAGACAGACAGGTGTGTCAGACCTACAGAGAGAGAGACTTCCTGTTTGCACCTGTGGAGACATTAACGCTCCAACAGGGACAGAGCCGACTCTGGACGCTGGAAACAGTGAGGACGCAGCACCTGTCTGAAACACACCTGTCCAACGTCTCACCTGTTTGTTCCGACCAGGAAGCGGGGACACCAGCTGGAAGATGGCTACTCGACCAGATGCTGTTCCCACGGCAACCAGGTCATCAAAACAGCTGAGCAGCTTTACAGCTGTGATCGCATCACTCTTCCCCTGTAACACACACACACACACACACACACACACACACACACACACACACACACACACACAGGAAGTCAGAATGAAGGAGGCCACCTGGTTTCTATTTAAACTGAAATATCTACCTGACAGCATTCAACATCACAGACATTATGAGGATCACTTGAACACACCACTGATCACATGAGTGCAGCACAATGCATTCTGGGATATTGAGGACTTTTTCATAAAGTTTGAACTAATTCAAAATGAACTGGACCAGCAGCGGCCGAGTCCTCGACCTGTCCCTCTGACTGGTTAGAAACTGAATCCTTCCTGGTTATTGATCTGCGATCAGGGCTGCAACTGGTCAAGCTGCTAGTGACGTTGAGAGCGCCCTCTGCTGGACCACGCGCCACATTACAACAAACAAGCGGGACCTCCTGTAGAACAGCACCACAGAAGAAGAAGAGCGCTGACCTCCAGGCTGTACTTGTTCATGTGTGCGAGGCGGCGACAGTACAGGTAGAGCATGCCGATGCTGCTGCCCACCGCCAGGAAGTCACTGCTGCTGTCCAGAGCCGTCAGGTAGACCAGGACAGACCTGAACCCACGCTGCACCTGCAGGACAGAGGGAGGAGCCTTCATCAATAACATCATCATCATCATCATCATAATATAGAAGGGAATTTTAAACTTAAACCCAGATGCTCTGGATCTGCCCCTTGGTCTGGTTTCAGAACCTTGGTCTGGGCTTTTAGTCTGGTTTGGAATGGTTCAGCACCTTAGTCTGGTTTCAGCACCTTGGTCTGGGCTTTTAGTCTGGTTTGGAATGTTTCAGCACCTTAGTCTGGTTTTAGAACCTTGGCTGGGTTTTAGTCTGGTTTGGAATGGTTCAGCACCTTAGTCTGGTTTCAGCACCTTGGTCTAGGTTTTAGTCTGGTTTGGAATGGTTCAGCACCTTGGTCTGGTTTCAGCACCTTGGTCTGGGCTTTTAGTCTGGTTTGGAATGGTTCAGCACCTTAGTCTGGTTTCAGCGCCTTGGCTGGGTTTTAGTCTGGTTTGGAATGGTTTAGCACCTTGGTCTGGTTTCAGAACCTTGGTCTAGGTTTTAGCCTGGCTTGGAACGGGTCAGTACCTTGGCTGGGTTTTAGCCTGGCTTGGAATGGGTCAGTACCTTGGCTGGGTTTTAGCCTGGCTTGGAATGGGTCAGTACCTTGGTCTAGGTTTTAGCCTGGCTTGGAACGGGTCAGTACCTTGGCTGGGTTTTAGCCTGGCTTGGAACGGGTCAGTACCTTGGCTGGGATGGCATTCAGCAGGTAGTAAAGCGGGCAGAACTCTCTCAGGATGGAGGGCGGGGTCAGCTGGGCCTCCATGTTTCCTGAAAATCAGTTCAAAACCTCCATTTAAAAACATACAACATTAACCCGAGAAGAAGCGCAACAAGAGAACTACACTTTTTGTTCTGCTGAAGGTAAATGTGCACCAAACTCATTTAAATAAGTAACATTTTACTGTTCTCTCTTTTATTATCTTCAGACATACAAGGCTGTTTAAAAATCATAATGAGTCGCTGGGATTTACTTAAGGTACATAATTAAACATTTCACATCAATAAAATTTCAGGTTTATGATTTATTTGCTGTTTCTCCACCACTTGTCTCCGCTTAAATGTAAGATAATTTGGATGTTGTCTGGCTGGGACCTCTGTGTGGAGGTTGCATGTTCTCCCCGTGTCAGCTTGGGCTTCCTGCCACGGTCCAAACACTTTTAGGTTTAAAGGATGGCCCTTAGATGAGAATGTGAGCTCGATTGGCAAAGGATAAAGCGGTTATAGATGATGGATGGATGTCTGATTTTAACGCTGTTTGGTGGATCAGACATTAGCAAAATTAAAGAGAACACTCTATCAAATGGTTAGAGATCTTGAGTCATGTTTTGTAGCGGACACATTGTAGCTCAAATGAAGAGATAGGAAAAACTGACTTTTGTTAAAGGAAGTTTGGTCTGACGAACACCGAACGTTCTGCTCCCCGAACAGCTGGAGAGAACTCTGCACCAGACTCGGTTACAAAAATCAGCAGTTTACTGTCCTCTTGTTCTTTAACTGACAACATACAATACGTTAAAAACAAGACAGTAAAAGTCGTTTGGGTTTGTTTAAGGTAATACCATTAAGCATTCCACAACAATTAAATCTATGGTTTCATGATTTTTCTGCAGTTTCTCCTGCACCATTCTTTCCTTACTGGAGTCACGGAGGGCGGCAACGAACAGGGTGAAGAAACGTAAACAGCTTAAGTTTAACATCATTTAAACGCTGTTTTGAAGACTACACATAGCGGAATAAACAGTACTATTTACCGAAGCGTAAGAACTCTTACACCGTGCTTTGCAGTAAACCGATTTCAGCACAACGTAAGAAATACTAAATTCACCATTTGTTACACGGAGTTTGGTGAGACACTGTCTCCTCCACGGTCTACGAGAGATGACGGCACCGCCAGGTTAACGTTAGCGAGGCTGTCTGTGCTGAAGTCTGACAGCTGACAGCGAACATCCCAACAACAACAACATCATGTTTCCAACAACAACATCATGTTTCCACCAGCAAACAAACATATTTACCGAGTTAGCTTGTGAAACACCGAGTCCAGGCTAGCTAGCATCATATGGAACCCGCTAATGTTAGCAAGGCAGGCTAACGTTAGCAGCGGGAGGACGACTGTGAGCAACTTACTCAGTTTACAGGGAAGGTTCCGCCCAGATGTTGGTCCAGATGTTCAAATGCAGCAGGATATTAAGGATCTGAGCGGTGACATCGCCCTGACAGCTCCCATACGGATACTGAGCTGCTGTCAACAAACTGCGCCACCAGCTGGCAGGAACCGGAACAACACCTGTTTCATTTCTGTTTTATTTTAGTTTTCAGTTGTTTCATCATCTTCTAACCGACAGCCTTCATCACTGACTTTCTATAACTCATGACTTTAATCTGATAATTAATCATCTTCATCTGCAGCCAGAGGATCATTTTATATTTTTATAAATGACTGACAGGAAGCGGAAACTCAGTGACTGCTGGTCGGAAAACCGGGAAACTGGATCTTTCTTCCATTTAAAATCCTAAACGTGTTTTTCCTCTTTAAGTAATATTTAATATTTAATATTTAATATAACGTGGACATGGTGGTGAAACTGAAAATGAAGATAACATTTGTTTAATTTAATGGCAGGAGTGGAATTTCTACTTAAATGTGACAATACAACATAAACGACCTGCGAAATTTCCAAAACAAACGTTATCTTCTTTTATAAATGAATTAATGGTTGTGTGTTTAATTACAAACACAATTTTGATTTTATTTGTGAAATAACGTCTAAATACAGATGGTCACATGGTTACACAAAATTAAAAAACACATTTCTATTTGATTTTTTAACTAAAAAAGTTAGTTTTATTTTCAGTATTCCCAAGTACCGTCGTTCATATTTATAAAATAATCAACATTAAATGTTGAGTCCGGTCCGGTGGTGGATCCGGTCCGGGGAGTCCGAGCTCCCGCTCCCGCTGACGGCTAAGCTAAGCTAGTACAAAACGCCCCCAGCCATCCCGTTTCTGCTCCCGTTATTCCCGCTCCCGTTAATGTTGTCCTTCATCCCGGCGCAGCGTTTTATTTTCCAGCACACACAGGATTTTATAACGACCAATTTATTCGGTAATATCGATCGGCGATCAGGTTGAATTGATCCACCAACTGGCCCCCAGTCCGAGCTAAGCTAACAGTTAGCCTCACAGCCAAAATGGCGGACAACGAGGATGACAGCGGTTCGACCAGAACAATAACAGCCGCGGAGCCTCCGGGGGACCCGGTCCAGCCCCCCGCCGCCCAGTGCACCCGTCCGGGGACATGTTACCGGCAGCGGCCGCTGAGCAGAGCAGTCAGCCCGGGGCGGGTTCACAGACAGGGTCCGGTGCCGACACCACGCAGCCCGGGGAGAGTGTACCGGCAGTGTCTGGAGCTCAGCTGGCGGACTTCTTACAGAGCTGCCCCCAGGAACAGAGCATCCTGGTGGGCTCAGAGTTCTCCGGACTGGGCCCGGACCTGGTCAACACCACCATCATCTACGTGCAGCCGGACGGGAGCCTGGTGGAGGGATCCGGACTGACGGCCGAGGAGCAGCAGGCTCTGCTGGATCAACTCACCAAGCAGCAGATCGTCCAGGTCTCCGACACCGAGGCCGCCCAGCTGCTCCAGCAAAGCCAGATGGTCAAAACCGTCCCGGTCCACAACACGGCCCTGGACCCGAGTCAGCTGCAGCAGGTCATCAACCAGGTTGCCAAGTCGCAGCAGCAGGTCCGCGTCCAGGTCCCCCAACAAGGTCTGAAGCAGCAGGTCCAAGTCCAGCAGGGTCTGAAGCAGCAGAAGCAGGTTCAGGTCCCTCAGCAGAACTTAAAGACCACCACCCAGAATAACGCGTCTCAGCAGCTGAAGAGCGTCGCCCAGCAGGTCGCCATGCAGACCTGCAGCCCAGTCCAGGTGGTCCAGAAGAAGGTGAGTCTGATGTGGAGCCCGGTTTAAGATCAGTTTGGTTCATCTGGACTGTAGCGTACTCACCTTGTCCAGACTGATCTAGACTGACCCCTCTGCCTGTTTCTGTTTGAGGCTCTGCAACTGAGCTCCACTCACCTGTCGGCTCACCTGCACTGTCATCAGAACAGGACAAGGTTCCCAACCAAGGGGAGGGGACCCCGCATGGGGCCACAGGGTCAGTCTGAGAGGCCAGGGGATGATTGACAGGAGCAGAAAAAAAACATTTCTGTTTCACAAAAATCTGTTTGTTTATTCAGAATTTGGGTTTTTCATGTGAGCCGCTGGATATTGTGACCTCTCCTGGACCCTGAATCTCGTGTTCGGGTTTAATCTGAAGTAGTTTATTAGAACTTCATGTTTCTGGTATCACAGACTGGTCATGTTGCTTCACCTGTTTCTTGGCGATTCCTCGACTCGCATTACGTGCGTCGAAGCGTCGCTGCATCCGCTGTTAGCTGGGATTCCCCCGGACAAGCTGCAACTACTGGACCGTCTAAAGTTTGGGAGTACTTCAGACTCAACGGCGTGCTGCTCCGTGAGCTTCACTGCAGCACAGCTGGTGTCCACGAACACGTGAAGCGAAGTATCCTGGAGCTCTGACGGCAGCTCCGCAATAGAGCTGCAACGATTAGTCGACGACGTCGACTATAAAAATTAGTTTACGTGAAACTTCATTGTCAGTGCGTCCTTACATAGATGCCGTTTAAGGGAGAGATAGCAATCTTCATATTAGGAACATTTGTGGTTGTTTATTTCTTACTGCGGTGCACTACAGGAAGTGCACTGCCGGCCGGCCAGTCCCGCCCACAGAGCGCCCTGGTCCCAGTTACTCAGACCACTGCAGCAGCAACAACAGGGGAAAGGCAGCGTTTCCTATAAGTTCATCTATTTGTGGCGGCCCTCCACAATATCAACGCTGACCGCCACATACTGATTTTATTTTTAATTTTATTTTACTAGGCCTATTTAAAATCTTATTTGATTATAGATCAGCGACGTAGCGTCTCTCTCTCTCTACCTCATAAACATCGCAGCACAACACTGGACCCAGCCTTAAAAAAGTTATTAGTAAGGAGTAATGGTTTAAAGTAAATCAAGAAACATCTGGCTCGTGACGTCGCCTACAGAACATTGTCTGCTCATAAAACCTATAAGCACTTTTGATGCCTGTCGCTTTATTGTTCTAAATGGACATTGTTAGTGTGCAGTTGTGGTTTTAGTACTTGCTTTTATTTGTTTGTATAAATCAGTGAGTTATGGGAGGAGCCTACGCTGTCTTGTCGTCTTCCCTGGCGCTGATACTGGTGGCCATTGTGAAGAGTTAACCTCGTTCACTTAATGGGAACGTTGGCTCGTTAGGCTGTGTTAGAGATCAGTGATTCACTTGAAAGATATTTAATTAATTAAATGGTTTAATGAGGGTTAGGGGGAGACAAAAATAATCGGGACTAGTCGACTAATTGAATAAATAATAATAAACAGATTAGTCGACTCTGAAAATAATCATTTGTTGAAGCCCTACACCACAAATCCTGGTTACTTCCACGAGCACGGTGCGTTTCTTCATCGCCTTCATGTTAACAGTAATTTCTGCCCCGCTGCTGTCATGGTAACGTTACACCGCGTGTTACGGCCGTTTCATGTTCTCTGTTTATTTAACGGCCACGTCTGAGCGAGAAAACAGCTGATCGTTACAGACGATCTGTTCCAGGTGTTTCTTTGCTCCACGCTGATGCAGAAACATCTGATTATCAGAGTGCATCACTCAGTACTGAAAATAACTCCAGGAACAGTTAAAGCAAAGCAGCCTGATTACTGTCGGTTATTGTCATCACAACACATCAGTGACGAGGAAACTGGATTCACTTTAAGATGCTGCTGTTGTCATTATTCTAATGAATTGAATAAAATATTGATTAATTGAGTTTATTTTGGTTTGTTAATCGGGTAATAAGCAACAGCCCTCCTCACAGGTCCGATCTCTGAGTTTTCATCTGCTGTCTGGTTTCTGTCTTTTTAGTCAGAACCCATCAGGATCCAGATCCAGGTTCCCCCCAAGCCAGAAGTGAAGCCCAGCACCGCCCCCCAGCAGAAGAGCGTAGCTGTCAATCATCCGCAGGTGAAGCTGTCGGCCAATGGCAGCGTGAGCAGCGCTCAGATCATCCACATCCAGCCTGCGGTGGGTCAGCAGGGTCAGCAGTTCTTCCTGCAGCAGGGCCCGGGGGAGACCCCCATCCAGCTGCTGCTGCAGAGCCCCGTCCCCGTCGTTGGATCTCTGCTCCCGTTGGTCCACAAGCTCACGGGCCAGACGACATCAGCAGGCAACGGCGCCAGTCCGGCTCAGAAAACTGCCATGTCCCCCATCAGAGTCCAGGCCCCCCCCATCGTCAAGACCCCGCCCACCTCTGTTGCTAAAACTGCTAGCGTCCCGCTAATAAAGGCCCCTACTAACGGCACGACAGCAGCCCCCAGTAAGAGCCCCGTTAAACCACCTGCAGTCCTCACGGCAGTCCCAGTACAGGCCGCCACACCTGCTGCTGGCCGGCCCGCCGCAGTAGCCCCGCCCTCTTTGAACCCGGCCCCAGCGGTGAAGGACAGAGACAAGGAAAAAGAGAAGAAGGTGAAGAAGAGGGAAAAGAAGGCGGTGAAGGTCCAGACCCGATCCGGTCGGGTCTCCAGGCCACCAAAGTACAAAGCCAAAGACTACAAGTTCATAAAGACGGAGGACCTGGCCGACAGCCACCAGTCCGACTCCGACGACTACTCAGACATGAGCGTGGAGGAGGAGGAGGGCGGGAGGAAGGACGGCCCCGCCCCCGGCACATCCCTCACCTACAGCCACAAGTCCCGGTCCCACCGCTGCCAGACCTGCGACAAGGCCTACATCGGTCCCGGAGGCTTGAACCGGCACTACAAACTAAACCCGACCCATGGCGAGCCTGATCCGCCCGGCAACACGCCTGGCAACACACCACGCCCCCTCAGAGAAGACAGCCATTCACAGGAGACGACGGCAGGTGTCGCCAGAGAAGAAGAGGAAGAGGAGGAGGAGAAGAAGAAGGAGGACAAACCCGCTGCCCCAGCAACAAACAGGGTTAGAGACTGATCCACCAATCAGAGCTCAGACCTGGAGGGAGGATCATATCACACCTGCTGCCTGGTTGTTATTTACCTGTCTGACTTTTACTTTCTGTCTTCAGGTGGAGGGGGGGCCAGCGGCAGCTGTGGGACTCCGAGGCCTCCATCACCGGGGCCCCGGCCGGCCCCGAGGACGAGGGAGAGGCAGGGGACGGGGCCGCGGCCGGGGCCGATCACTAGGGCCGCCTCCTAAGGTGAGCTCACCTCAACCTGTGCAGGGCACCACAACAGTAACCCTTCACCTGCTGCTCTTCTTCATGGTAACTAATTGGTTAATCTGATTGGTCAGTTCTCTCAGGTGACAGTCGGCCTCGTCAGCAGACGGGGGCGTCGTGGTCGACCGCCAAAGCTCGCCATCGCCACAGTGACTGCCGAGCAGCAGGCGGAGAGGAGACGAGACCGACTGCAGGAGGTAAGAGGGAGGAAGTGGAGACGTGGACTTTCAAAGTAAAGTTTTTCTTTGAAGGCGTGATGTAATGACCTGATGTGGTGTTTCAGCTGGTGGAGCAGTGTGAGGATGAGGAGCTGATGGACATCGTTCTTCCTCGTTTGACCAAAGTGTTGAGTCTGTGGGAGCTGCTGCTGGCAAAGGTACACACTAATACTCTCACAGTACACGCTCTGTGTATGTTTGTGTGTATATTTCTTCTTCTGGTTCTTCACCGTGCAGAGAACATCCGAGCTTTGACGGGTCGGGTTTTGATGTAGTTTACGACGACGTCTGTCGTGACGTCTTCAGCTCTTCGCGGTGTTTCAGTGTGTCCACTGCTGAGCGTCCACTGAGCGCCGTCTGTGCACATCCCCACGCAGTCATTTCGGACCGGCCTCTTTTAAGTCGGCGTCAGAGTTCTTCTGCTGGCGCTCTGGTTGCAGGAGAGCAGATCCTCCTGTAAATCAGCAGCATTGACAAATCAAATGGTCCTTGTTACCGTCAGGCGCTTCATCTGCAGAGCAAAGCGAACGTCGTAGCTCGCCGTTGAGCTGCTCCTCTGTGTCCTGTTTGTGATAAACGATGGCGTGTTTAGCTTGTTGGCTGTTGCTTCATCGGTCGTTGTTGAAAGTAGAGATATCAGAAGGAAGTATTTGTTGCTCGGCTGCAGAGCTTTTTCCACCTTGCAGCTCTGAAGCAGCTTTACATGAGGCCAGTTGAGCTTTTGATGCCCCCCCCGCCCACTGTAGGCATAAATAATAAATAAATTATGGTCCCATTTAGAGGACAATAGAGCAGAGGAAGCTTCAGGAACCGTTTAAAAATGAGACCGCTGCTCTTTTATGAAAAGCGCTGACTCCACAGCTGGTCGGACTGCGAACAGGCGACGCTTCGCACCGAGTGTCAGCAGAACACAAAGCAGCACATGTTGAGTAGCTGGACTCTTCAGAGTAATCAAGGACACGTGTCTCTGATGGTCCTTCTTTAGACCCGGGTCAGGAAGTGTACTTTGTGCTCTGGTATTCCTGACAAACGGCTCTGTCCTCTGGCTGTTTCAGGTGGAGCGCGGCGGTCCAGCTCGGACTCGGTTTCCAGACATCTACCGTGAGTTTGAGTCCCTGCAGGCTCAGGTGAGACAGGCTGCTCAGGACTACATCATCAGCCCTCAGGGCGGGGCCATGCCGCTGGAGGTCAGGAACATCGAGGTGAGACGTCCTACTGGGTTCTGCTGTGGAGGTTCTGCTGCGGGTGTGTGTAGCGGTCTGTGGACTGTACTGTGTGTTTCAGGTGGCCCGGTCTCTGGGGATCCTGGATGAGGTGAACAGGATGAAGGTGGTTCCTGGAGCGTCTCCCAGCTCCAGTCTGGCCAATAAGAACGTCCGATACATGGAGGTAAACACGCCATCGCGTTCTGAGAGCAGGATCCAGGTTTGGTCTGGATCCAGTATCTGTACCTGCACACTGGTGCCAGAGTCCAGAGGCCTGTACTACGAAGCGAGGTACCTGGCTTCTCCGGGTAACTTCAGGTGTAACTTTCTGATTAATCCGAAAGGGAGAGACAGGTGTTACCTGAGGCCTGTTGCCATGGCGATTTATCTTTCGGTCTGTGCACACAGCTGCTGTGTTAACTTCATACTCGAATGATCCACCGTCTGAAAGCTAAAGTCCAAGATACAGTGAAAAGTGGCGCGACTCACCGACGAAGCCTCACAGTAACAACAACAAACGCTCTTGTTACGCTGTCCAGACGATCCAATCCAGTAAAACATTTAGTTCGAAACACATTATTCCATCAGGAAATCCTCAGAGACGGCTGCCGCATCGCTTCAGATCTGCCGGCAGACGCGGCTCGTACGTCATTATAACCAGAATAACTCCGATTTGAACGGAAACGACTACGATAGCTTGTATTCAAATTAGCTGCTGAACTCTGACCTTTCGACTGACACCAAATCTGACCCAATAGGAGCTCACATGTCCCTTTCACCGCCTACAGCAGCCAATGAGAGCCCGCGCTGTGAGGAAAGGCCGGCCCCTGTTATTTCCTGAACCAATTGCAACCAACTGTGCTGATGACGGGCACTTCCTGTAGCCAATAGGATTCTGAAAATAACGACCTCCAGCTTTAAGTAGGAAGTTCATGATCTACCAGCAGAAACGCACGTCTGCGTGGAGCTGCCGGCTGATACGGAGCGACGCAGCAGCAGCCGCCTGCCGCCAAGGGGGCGGGGCTGATTTAGAAAAAATATGCTGTGTCAAACATTTTTCATGGTATTGGTATGAAATGTAAACTTGTTCTAGGCTTTATGCTGCGGCCCTGCAGTGTTTCCCAGCTGTAGCTGTCTGCAGGCATTTGTTAGCAAACATTTTCAAGCGGAAATGAAAAATCTATTAGTTTTAGTGTTTAAGCTGATATTCATCAGTTCCAGTAGCTCTTACAGTCATTCTGATATCTTTCTTGACCTAAATTCAATTTACTGTGCATCTGCCTTGAAGAGGCGTTTTGCATGACTTTGACAGAAGAGGTTGACTCGAGGTTACTCTGTATACTACACACCACATCTGTACTCCGTGTTAGGATGAGAAGTATTAATACACACCTCCTTATAAATATAATCAGAAATGTTGAGTGTTTTTGTGATTATTAGTTCCTCTAAATCTTCATCTTGGAAGTTTCCCCCCGACTCCATATTTATATGACCGTGGACACGACGTGCAGCTGCAGCTTTACATCTTCATCACATTACACATAAAAGAAGAGCCCATCGAATACTAACCAGAGAATTACAACGACAGCACTGAAGATAATTACACATTTACTCAGTGCTCTGCCAACAAGCTTAACCTGGCTTTGATTTAGCCGTTAACGTGTTAAACTCTTCCTCTCCGGACACTGCCGGTGTAGCAGGCAAAGACTTTAACCTGCTCAGATTTAACTCGGGTTACCAAACAAATTCAAACTACGACGGTGAAAAAAGATGTTTGTTAGTTGACTTGAATTAGGGCCAAAAATGACGTGGCCAAAAATGTTATCACGATAAAAACATTTCATATCATTCGATATCGATAATTATCACGATAAACGTCAAATCATTATTTCTTTTGAGTTTAAAGGCTGATTTTTGCTCCTGAGTGAACATTGAAGAAACCAGCTGGTGAATTATGTGGTTCAACTTTTCAAACACTTCACAAGTCTGAGGGAGAACATTCAAAACTATTATGATAAAAATTCAACAAATATGATCAGTAAATCTTTTTTTTAGTCCCTTTTCCTCAACAAAATAAATATTTTAATAGAAAAAGTGCTAATTTTTTTGCGATTCAAATGAATTAAACGAATCTTTATTGAGGATATATTGAACATTCATTCTATTGTTATTGAGGAAAATGATATTGTGATCGGTGCCCTGCATCAAAGGGCCGTGTTTGTGTTTCTTCTCCAGAAGAATGGCGTCGACAGTGTCTGGATATGAGCAGTTAAAGACACGTTAACGGCTAAATCTACAACAAACCTACAACTAGTGTTGTAGTCAAGACCAAGACCGGACATTACAGGACGCACAATAAAATGTGGATCGAGATCACAGGTGCTTCTCAGATTGATCTGAAAGATCCACTTTCCCGTTAAAACCCCCAGATACAAACACTAAGAGCTGAAATCAACGTCAGCATCTTTATTCAACGCTCCTCTTCCACGCTGAGCATCGCGGGGAGGGAGGGGGGGGCAGGCGTTAACGGGAACAACACATTTTCATCAGGGTCATTTTTTGTATTTGAATCAGTACATGTATGGAAAGAAAAACACTTTATTACTTTATATATTCTTAACATTGAAGTGAGGCTCTGGAGGAAGCACACGGCTTCACATCTCACTCCGCATTCCTTCATCAGATCGTTAGCCCTCCCCGTCTCCGTGGATTAATATACGGACGTGACCAGGAAACCTTCAGGATCGCAGTTCAGGTCTGCTCCCAGAGTCCCAGCTCAGCTGCAGAGGAACCAGTCAGGATCAGACCTGGAGGTGTGGATTAATTAAAGTAACCATGGAGATAACCTGCTCAGAGTTTAGAGGTGCACTGACCTCCGGGAAAACCTGTCCCCCTTTTGTAGTACGGGTTCAGCAGGAAGTTTCTCCTGGATTAGCCGGGTACCTCGCTTCGTAGTACAGTTGTACTCTGATAGAAACCGGGACTTTGGAACCAGGACTCTGTGGCAGCTAAACACCTGATCCAGGTCCAGTCTGATTCACTTAAAAACTCTGTTTCCCAGAATTCAAAGATGCTGCCGCCTTCAAAGAGATTCAAGATGGAGAACAGCGTTTCTGTTCACCAGAACGGCATCGAGACGCCCAGAACAGGTACCAGTACTGCGTTTGTACTTCATACTACTGCAGTTTCACTACTGCAGCTGATAATTTGAACTTTTCTTTCCCAGGTGGAGCCGCAGGGACCCCTCCGCCCCCTGTGACCCCTGTGACCTCCTCTCTGAAGCCCTGCTCGGTCTCTGTGTCCCCCCTGGTGATCCCAGGTGCATCCAAACTGCTGACCACCACCGCAGACTCCGCCTCCAGGTGAGTGTACAGGTAGAACAGGTGATCTGGAGACTCAGTGTCACACCTGGACCAGGTCTACAGGGCTGATGTGTTTCTCTGGTCCCCCAGCTCCTCTGGCTCCAGCTCTGCTAAGATGCCCTCCACCCAAGCTCCTCCGCCTGTCACCCCCATGGAAGTGACCCCAGCTGAGGACCAGGACCAGGGGCCTCTGCAGACCACCACCCAGGTGGAGACTCTGCCAGCAAGCCAGGACCAGGTCCTGAGCACCAGTGACATCACAGCCCAGATGAAGGAGCTGGAGAAAGCTTTGGGTTCAAGTCCCGAGACCACCACAGACTCAAAGACTCCCGAGTCCAGCTCAGTCCAGACTCCCGAGTCCAGCTCAGTCCAGACTCCCGAGTCCAGCTCAGTCCAGACACCCGAGTCCAGCTCAGTCCAGACTCTGGCTCCCTCTGAGCTTCAGCAGAAGGACTCCTGTCAGGCCGAGTCCGGCTCCACAGACCCCTGTGAGCCCAAAGAGCTGCAGGAGGGTCAGGAGATCTACATACAGACTGAGGGGCTGACGGTCCAGCTGGCAGAACCAGGATTAGACGGGATCGTGATAGTCAACGGGCCCGACGGAACCACCATGCACATCCAGACCCCTGAGGGGGTCCCTCTGGAGGCAGTCCAGGCCCTGCTGGGTATTGAGGCTTCAGATGGAGCCAAAACTCCTCAGTGAACCCTGAACAGAATTGGAAGACCACAACCTGACCTGAACCACATCACACTAACACGCACCTGTCGGCCAGACAGTTTCCTGTAGCGCCCCCCTCAGGACATCCTGTACACTATAACCGAAGGGGGCCCGACGAGTCCTAAGACCGCTGTGGCTCAGAGGTCGGTTCCGCCCTGTTTCAGATCAACACCTGAGGACAGACTTAACGTCCCGCCTGCATCTCGTTCTGTCTTCATCAGACCGTTTAAAAACCAGTTTGAAGTGTTTCTCCGTTCAGAAAGCAGAGAGGCTGCCGGGCCACGTCGTCATCGATCGACTCATTTTCTTATTTTATTTTGTGAAGCTGAGCTGCTGTCCTGAGAGCAACGTGACCTGAAGATCAGGACTCGGCAAGTCCTGCCCTCTGGGTCATAGACTCAACGGTAGTATAAGGAGAAGACTGAAGTTTGTGAGTACGTAGTGTCCTCTCTGGGCTCCCGTACTCTCATTTATCATCTCAGCTCGTGGTCTGATTGGTCGGCTCAGCTCTCACCGGTGATGGCGGCGGCGGCTCTTCGGCTGGTTTTTAAGGAATCTGGAAAGATTGTAAATTTGTAAACTTGTTTCTTTTTCAGTGTTTCCATGTTTGGAGCGCTTCATCTAGAGACGTCTTGATTAGTTGTTTATATGTAGATAAATATGAAAAACAAAGTTTAAAAAAAGTTGCACTATTTTATTACTTTTTATAAAACTTCACGGCGAAACATTTTCCAGACGTAAAGTTTGTAACGATGTGAGGACGGACTGCGGAGCGCTGGGAGGAGATCCACCTTTACTGGTTTGTCATGTTGATTACACACATTTCATGTTCCTCCAATAAACTGATCAGCTCTGACCTCTGTGTGATGATGTCATCAGGCGTGTCACTCCTGATTTAAAAAGTAATTAAATGTAATAAGTTACATCACTCTGCATTTTTAATCACTTGTAATCATCCATTACATTTCCAAAGTAACCTTCCGGCACGGCGTGCAGCTACGGCAGAGCGGCGAGCAGTTTGATGGACACGGTGACACTTTGTTCTTCAGAAACTATCTTTACTGTTACAGCAACAAATGTCAGTTAACAAAAACATTCAGAGTGAATCTGGAGACCGGCGCTGCTCCGACAGAAACACACCTGAGGACCACAGGTGACAGGAAACGGACGATCCCCTCGTATCGAAGAGTCGCAGTTCGCCCGCAGCCTCAGGAAGTGGATCCGCCTGCTGCTGTTTCTGCAGCTGCTCACCAGCTCCCCTGCGGTCCGAGCTAAGCTAAGCTAACTCCTGTCCGTATGACATCACAGCGTGCGGTGGCCGGTCTCCAGCAGCAGGGCCTCCAGGGTCAGTCTGGCCTGGGGGGGGACGAAGGGCTGGTGCAGCCAGCAGGACAGGTAGACCATGCAGAGGTCGGAGGTCGCGGCGTGGGCGAGTTCCTGCAGGATCAACTGCTTCAGCTTCAGCTCCCGACTGAAGCACCGCAGCAGGAAACGAGACGAGTCCTCTGCAACGAGACAAACGTCAGAGCGCCGCGGGAACAAGCTGCCGACATCACGCGGGCGCACTGCGGGCAGCGGGAAAACTCACCGAAGTGTTTGCTGCTCCAGCTGTGAAACAGAGGAAACTTTCTTCCTTCAGGTCCGAACTGAAACTCCTCCAGATCCTGAACGCCACGCTGTGATGTCATCAAGCGCTCCATCTTCGTCACCACGACAACCTGACGGGAATCAGAAGATGAATCGACATCAGAAACAAGCATGAGAAGGGGGGTCGCCTGAGGGGCCCGGGGGGTCGCCTCAGGGGCCCGGGGGGGTCGCCTCAGGGGCCCGGGGGGTCGCCTGAGGGGCCGAACATCAGAGTTATCTGATCATTAAACAGTTCATTAGTTAGTTCTGCACCAGCTTACGGTGGAATAGTTTTCTTTAAAGTCAGACCCAGTTGCTGGAAAAAGTTTTATGACATTTTGCTCCTGAAATCCAGCCTGAATCCACTAAAAAGTTTAGTCTGATCGGATTTCGGCTGTCGGATTGGATCAAATCCTGAAAATGGTTGTTCAAAAGAAAAAAAAGGATTCTGAAATCGGATCAGATCACCTGATCTGGATCCAACCTTCAGTTTGTGGTGTTCAGAACTTTGTAGTAGAGTCAGGATTATCCTGATCCCAACAGAAGGCTGGATGGATTTCAGGAGCAAAATGTCATAAAACTTTAGAAATTTTTCCAAACAACACATTTGATCATGTTGGAGCCTAAATACACATTTTATATTTTTAACTTGATTTGTTTAAACTTAACGGTGATAAAGTCGACGTTTCCTTTAAGCCTTTCAGTAAAGTAAAAGACGGGCCGACTGTTTAAAGAAACTGAAAATGTTTGTGTTGTTTTTTATTGTGCATTTTATTAAAGCGACCCCCCCGCCGGCTGTTCCACCTGTTGGTCTTTGTATCAGTAACTACGTGTCTGTCTGACGCTCTAATGAGGTCGTTGAAGGTCAGCCTGCTCTGTATCTGCTGTCAAACGCACAAATCTCACGTTAACTTGGTCTCAGTCCGAACACGCTCTGGTGTTTCTATTTAAACTGCAGCAGCTTCGTTTCCACCATCAATGAAACTTCCTCCTCAGTTACAGTAAATCGAGCGTCACCATTTTGTCGATGACGTCTTGCAGTTTGCGGCATTCGTCCTGCAGCGCCGCAGCTTCGCCCGCCTGCTGCCACGGAGCTGATGAAGACGAGGAGGAGGAGGATGATGATGAAGACTCGTCGTCCAGCAGAAGCCGATCGCTCTGAGACCTGAAACAGACAAAGTGATGGTTAAACTACAAACACCAGAAATCCACATCCTGGCAGGTCAGAGGAAGTGATGTCACACAGGAAGCAGCTCTTTGCTTTGAGTGATCCAGGGGCGCCAACAAGACGTTTTTGTTGTGGGCCCAAAAATGAGGTCAAAACCCTGCGACACCCCGTTGCACGTGAGAGACGGAACCGTATTTTTATAATCTAACAAGCTATTGGTCCGTTGGCGTTTGGCAGCTGCGCGATCGTGCGCAGGAGACGCTGGTGCCGACAGGAAGTGGCTGCATACACAGCAGTAAGATGCTGTGTAAGGTGGAGGAAAAGGCAGTCTGGGAATTTACGCTTTCTAGGAGAGAAAACACGAGGCGCCTTTTTTAATATTATATGTTGCTAGGCAACCACTGAATCAGCTGTCCTGTCCGTCTCTTATAGCGCCAGCGATCTAAGCTTTGTCTCACTGCAGGAACGTGACCACAGGTCTGCGTCTGTTGTTGCTTTAATCAAAGACAAACGCAGGGCGCCTGGAGACACGCAGGAGACAGGAAGAGGAGACGCCGCTGATGGCACCGCCAGCTGGTCCAGCAGCTTCGTCTTTATGATGGCGGGGACAGTTTGTCTCTGGACAGTCCAAGCAGCTGGAAACAGTTGAGAAAAAAAAAAAGCAAGAATGACGTCGGGCGCTTTTCTGCTCACAGTTGAATGTTAGGCGCAGGACGCAGGACGCTCACTGCCAATAGGAAACGATTTAAAAAAGACGCCTCTCACTGCAGGAAACGCGTCCCTTCTGATCCGGGTCTTACTCCTCCTGATGTTCTGGAGGTCTCTTCAGAGGCTGCAGCACGAAGCCAGTCCACCAGGATCTCAGTCCAGGATCTGTTATAATACCGGGCCGGGTGAACCAGCACCAGGATCAAGAGCTCCGGTCTCTGCGTCACGTGGACGGGGCTTTTACTAGCACTGATCTCTGATCTGGACCAGAACCTGGTCAGCCGCTCAGCATCAGGTACCATGGCGATGTAAGAGGAGAACCACGGCGTAGGACTGAAGGCGCCGGGAGACTAACGGGACTCACCGTGTCCGCCTCATGTTGGCGATGTTTCCCGCCACGCTGAATCCGTCCTCGTTGAGTTTCTCCCACCTCATCATCAGGTTGTGCCAGTCGGCGGCGTTGTCTTTGACCTTTCGGGCACTTCCTGTGACAGCGGAGCACTTCCTGTTTGCTGGGGTCACCGTGATGTCACCTGACTGACCTGACAGGGGAGACAGACGGACATTTTTAGGTTCTGCTGTCAGTCATGACCTCAGCTCACTGTGAGCTCACGCAGGGAGAATTTGTCCAACTTGGCGGCGCCGTTTTTAGACCCCGCCCCTGCAGCCGCGTGCAGCTCACGTTAGACTACGGCCCAATCCCAGACCCCCCCCCCGAACCCTGAACCCTCAGACTTTACTGACGTCACTTTGAAGCTTCCCCCGGTAACCCTCGTGTTTCACGTCATACCGCTATGCATTGTGGGCAGTTTCTCTTTTCCCAAATTTGTGCCTCCTCCATCCTCGAGCCTGAGACCCAGGCCTGATCGGGGAGGACGTAGGTCAATACTGAGATGATCACATGACTCCTGTCTAATCTCTACTCGGTGGAATTGACCCTTCGCTAAGCCACGCCCCGAATACCCAGCTGGCCAATCACAGGCAGTACAGGACTCGCTCTAACTTCCCCCCCCCCCTTATTTACATTTCACAATTGTACAAAATCTCGTCAGGAAGTTCTTTTCTTTCTTTAAAACCATACAGACCTACGAGAACAGCAATAATAATAATAATAATAATAATAATAATAATAATAATAATACTAGTGAGAGTAAACTTACATGTTCAGTCAACACATATATATGAAATTATCACCAGCACATTATTTCCATTCATTCAACAGTTCCTGATCAGCTCTTCAGAAAAATGCTCCCTCATGTTCCCTTTTCCAATCCCACATTATAACATCATTTCAGGGGCAGCGTGTTCTGACTAATAACGATTTTATTTTTCAGACACAGATTTACGGGAAACAGACGCAGCAGGTCAGATTTAACTGACGTCGCTTTAAAATGACGCTCCGAGGAAACATCTCATTTCCTTACATGCTTGTTTCCTCGACTCCTCGAGCTCGCGAGGAGGCAGAACTGTGGGAGATGAGAAAGGCCCCGTGCGCGCAGCCGCAGTCGTCTCGAACGCACCTAACGTCAGGCTGACCGGAAGTGCTCCTAAAGACCTGACCCGCTTTGTGAGACCGAATCGGAACCGGTTCTGTCGCCGGTTTAAACAGGCGGCTGATCAGCTGATCGGCGGCGGTTGTTCAACACGCGGAGCCTCGTGCAGGAGCTGCTGATCACTCACCTTCCATCTGATCACACGCTGCCGATCACTTTTCCACTTCCTGTCCTCCTCCTTCTTCTGTGGTGGAGCTGCTCCTCCTCAGCAGCTCGTCAGCGCCCCCCCCACGGACCACCACGTGGTTCCGTTTAAGACAGAAAGAGATTCTTCGTTGATGTTGGAGAATTTGGGATGAAAAGAAAATAAGTTTTAATAATAATTTTTATTAATTCGCTCAGCGGTCAGTCTCTTTCCATCAGCAGCCAGGCTCTTCAGTTAACTCAGTATTTTATTTATGTCCATCTTTAAATCAGACTTCAGCTCCAAGACAGGAACAAACATTTGTCCTGCCCAGCAGCCTGGTATAGAGTATAATGACCTGGATACCATATTGTGCCAGACAGATTTTACTTTAACAAGAGAGTATTAAAATAAACAAACAAAAAGGAACAAACATTTCTACTGAGGTTTCAGACAAACAAAATAACCAATAACTAGTTCAAATGAAAAGACGATATTTATTAGTCGTAACAGCGTCTCTAATAAACGCCTCCTCGCCACCCGGGACTGGCAGGTCCTTCCTGGACACGTTAACCATCTTACAGTTTATTTTTTATTATTCACATGAAATACCAGGCAAGGGAACAAAAAGTCAGCAAGCTGTCCCCAACATGGACCAACATGGACCAACATGGACCAACATGGACCAACATGTCCACATTAAACAGTCTGTGGACGCTGCAACCCTTTCTGATAAACAGCATCATGTGATCACATGTTTGAACATCCCATGTTAGTGATGTTTCCTGTCAGGACGCTTTCTGCTGCTCCTCTGGAAAAGATCTCGGCCTTCTTAAGCTTCCTCAAGGAATCCAGTTTCTGAGCTTCCTTCTCCAGCGTGGAGACGTGAGACGACCATGTCAGCTTCTCTGTGATGCTGATTCGCAGGAACCTGAAACTGCTGACCTGCTCCGCCTCAGCTCCTCTGATGGACGCAGGAGTCTTTATCTCCTTGGTTTTGCTGACGTTGAGCAGCAGCTTGTTCTCTGAGCACCACTCTGCAGGATTATAAATTTCCTCCCGATATGAAGTCTCATCGTTGTTTGAAATGACGGTGACGATGATGGCGGTGTCATCTGCAAACTTCACAACAGAGTTCTCTCCATGTTGGCGAGTCGTGTGTGTCCAGCGTTTCAGTTTCTCAAAGCACTTCATCAGAATGGGGGGGGGGGGGCACATGACTCTGTTGTTCCATCGCAGGACGTTATGGGGATTAAAATTAGGTTTCTAAATCATTTTCCAGTATGAAAGGACTTGTTTGTGAAAGGCAGAGAGTTATTTTGATTGTGTGATATTTTAGTAATTGTGTTTTAAATCTCACATTTCATACTGTTTGTCTTTTTTTTTTAATGAACTAATTCATTCATTCATTTTTGTCTATTAATACACACACACACATTTACAGTGTTATGTATTTATTTTATTAAAATGTTTTAAATTATTATAATAAAACACACATTACTTACTTTTATATATATATAAATATTTTTTTTTTACTTTTTTCAAATATTTTATTTAACTTTTTAACACACACACACACGCTTATTATTTTTTCACATCATTTACATAGTTTAATTTAAGTATTAAAATATTTTTAATTTATATATTTTTTTTTAACACACACACCCGCTTATTGTTTTACTCATTTACTCTTTTTTAATATTTATTTTTACAGAATTTTTAATTTTATATATTTTATTTTGTATTAACACACACACACCTTTTGCTGTTTTATTTCCTTACCTAATGAAATGTATGAAATGAATTGTCCTTATGTTCTTTATATGTAGCTTTGGCAATATTGTTCTATACATTCATGCCAACAAAGCTAGTTTGAATTTGAGTCTGACAGGTAGTTTAGTAGACTGGGAGCCAGAGCGTTCAGCTATCAAGCTCCTCTCCTGTGGAACCAGGTTCCAGTTTGGGTTCAGGAGGCAGACACCATCTCCACATTTAAGAGTAGGCTTAAGACTTTCCTCTTTGATAAAGCTTATAGTTAGGGCTGGCTCAGGTAGTCCTGAATCATCCCTTAGTTATGCTGCTATAGGCCTAGACTGCCGGGGGATTTCCCATGATGCACTGAGCTCCTCTCTCCTCTACTTTCTCTCCCTCTGTATGCAACCTCATCCCATTATTGTATGTTACTAACACAACTTCTCCCCTTTCTGGTAGTCTTGTGCTTTCTCGTCTCTCTCCTCTCTCCTCCTGTCACTTCCTGCAGGTGTTTCTGGCTCTGGAGTTGTGGAGTCTGGATCTGTGGTTGCGGGTCACCTGCTGCCCCCGTGTTCCTGCTCGACAGCCTCTGCTGCAACGACTATGATTATTTATATTAATATTATTGTTTCATTACGCTTTTATCTGACAGCTTTAGTTTCTTTCCAAATGAAAAAGTGAACCACGTGATCAGCTTATAAAATCTTTATTGTTCCAGATGAAACTTTGTTAAAGAGATCAGACGGAAATGAATAATAAAAACCCATTAAATTAAATGAACCCATTCTGCTGCTAATACTTCTTTCCACTGAAGATCTGCAGATTTTAGTATGTTATCCTGAAAAACACAAAAGACGTCATGCAGGTTAAATAAGGAAACACAAAAACATTAAAACATGCAGCAGACAGGAAGTCAGCGTTCACAGACAGGAAGTCAGCGTACACAGACAGGAAGTCAGCGTTCACAGACAGGAAGTCAGCGTTCACAGACAGGAAGTCAGCGTTCACAGACAGGAAGTCAGCGTACACAGACAGGAAGTCAGCGTACACAGACAGGAAGTCAGCGTTCACAGACAGGAAGTCAGCGTTCACAGACAACATAAGATCGACATGTTTGATGCGAAATGATCAGACTGTTAGATCCAGTCCCAGAATCCTCCTCTTCGTCCACTGACTGAACTCTGCTCATTATTCACATCATTTAAAGTGACAGACGAACAAACTGAACTCAGATCAGATTAAACAAACTCAGCAATCGTTTTTTGTTCTTCCAGTGGAAGCGAGCTCCAGAGTTTAACCTTCATTATAACAGGTTCAACCCGCCGGAGTCTTCACCTGCACTCAGAGAGAAAGTTTAGCTTCCTCACAGAGGTTAAAGTGTCCTCTGAAGACATCTAGAGAGACAAACGTCCAAGAGCAGAGTCAGAACCAACCTCTGAGTTCCAGAGTCGGTTCCTTCTCTCTTTACAGCTTTACTGTGTGTGTCTGTCTCTCTGTCTCTTTCTCTCTCTCTCTGTTTCTTTGTCTGTCTGTCTGTCTCTTTTTATTTCTCTGTGTCTCTCTCTGTCTCTTTGTCTCTCTCTGCATCTCTCTCTGTCTTTTTCTCTGTCTTTGTCTGTCTCTGTCTCTCTGTATCTCTCTCTCAGTCTCTTTCTCTGTGTCTTTGTCTGTCTCTTTTTTGTCTCTGTGTCTGTCTTTGTCTCTCTGTGTCTTTGTCTCTCTGTGTCTTTGTCTCTCTGTGTCTGTCTTTGTCTCTCTCTTTGTGTCTTTGTCTGTCTCTCTCTCTATCTGTCTCTGTGTCTTTGTCTCTCTCTATATCTCTCTCTCTCTGTGTCTTTGTCTCTCTCTTTGTGTCTTTGTCTGTCTCTCTCTATCTGTCTGTGTCTTTGTCTCTGTGTCTTTGTCTCTCTCTCTCTCTCTGTGTCTTTGTCTCTGTGTCTTTGTCTCTCTCTCTGTCTATCTCTCTCTGTCTTTGTCTTTCTCTTGTCTTTATCTATCTCTCTCTCTCTCTCTCTCTCTCTGTGTCTTTGTCTTTCTCTTGTCTTTGTCTCTCTCTCTGTGTGTCTTTGTCTTTCTCTTGTCTTTGTCTCTCTCTCTGTGTCTTTGTCTCTCTCTCTGTCTTTCTCTTGGTCTCTTTGTCTCTCTTTGTGTCTTTCTCTTGGTCTTTGTCTCTCTCTCTCGGTCTCTTTGTCTCTCTCTCTCGGTCTCTGTGTCTTTGTCTCTCTCTCTCTCTCTTTGTCTCTCTCTGTCTCTCTCTTTGTCTCTCTCTCTCGGTGTCTTTGTCTCTCTCTCTCGGTGTCTTTGTCTCTCTCTCTCGGTGTCTTTGTCTCTCTCTCGGTGTCTTTGTCTCTCTCTGTCTTTCTCTTGGTCTCTTTGTCTCTGTCTCTTTGTGTCTTTGTTTCTCTCTGTCTCTCGTGGTCTCTTAGTCTGTCTCTCTCTCTTTGTGTCTTTCTCTTGGTCTCTGTCTCTGTCTCTCTCTCGGTGTCTCTGTCTCTCTCTCTCTCGGTGTCTTTGTCTCTCTCTCTCGGTGTCTTTGTCTCTCTCTCGGTGTCTTGTTCTCTCTCTCGGTGTCTTTGTCTCTCTCTCTCGGTGTCTTTGTCTCTCTCTCTGTCTTTCTCTTGGTCTCTTTGTCTCTGTCTCTTTGTGTCTTTGTTTCTCTCTGTCTCTCGTGGTCTCTTAGTCTGTCTCTCTCTCTTTGTGTCTTTCTCTTGGTCTCTGTCTCTCTCTCTCTCGGTGTCTCTCTCTCTCTCTCTCTCGGCGTCTTTGTCTCTCTCTCTCGGTGTCTTTGTCTCTCTCTCTCTCTGTCTTTGTCTTTCTCTCTCTGTGTCTTTGTCTCTCTCTCTGTCTGTCTGTCTGTGTCTTAGTGTCTGTTAGCAGGTCTTTGTTATATGACTAATGACCCACTTTGTCGCAGTCCAGCAGCCTGGGTGGGGGTGGGGGGGCTGTTAGGAGGACTGTCCCGGCTGTGTGAGGTCTGTTTTTAGCAGCAGAAGAAGAAGCTGTGGTGGGTGGGGTCTTGGCTGACTCCGCCTCCAGGTGACGCACTGAGGCTCAGACTCGTCATTGAGCGTCTTCAGGCAAACTTCTTCTTGGTGGCCGTGAAACGCTCCATGTACTGAGGAGGAAAGAACAGAGACCATCAGAGACCACCAGAGACCACCAGAGACCAGTATTACTGATGGATATTAAGCAGCTGCTGTAGTGTATAATGTCCCACAGGCCCTGAATGCAGCATGACAGGAAGTGGTCCTGACCTTGTCGTATCCCTCCAGGTCTCTGAGATTCTTCACCTCGAACAGGTTTCCCTCCAGAGAGAACAGAGACACCTGGGAGTCCTTCAGGACGGACTGCGGGATGGAGGACAGCTCCAGGCAGTTCTCCTCCAGGCGCAGGACCTTCAGACGGGGACAGCGAGACACCTCCGCCGACAGCACGGAGATCTGGAGGAGAGGAACAGTCTGAAGCAGAAATTCATCCTCTCTTTTATCATTTTTATAGAAGTCAGTTGTGAAACGATGGACCTGCTGTACCTGGTTCTGGTTCAGGTTGATCTCAATGGCCTGCAGCTCCGACACCTCTGCGGGGACGATGCGGATCTGGTTGCGGGACAGGTCCAGCAGGTCCAAATGCCTCAGGGTTCCCAGTCCGGCGGGGAACTCGGAGATCTGGTTCCCGGACAGGTTGAGGGTCCGCAGAGCTTTGAGCTGGCCCAGAGTGGGGGGCAGCTGCTGGATCTGGTTTCCATTCAGACTCAGAGTCTCCAGCTTCTTGAGCTTGGAGATCTCGGGGGGGATGCAGTCTGAGGACAGAAGCACACATCAGGTCTACATTTCTCTTGTGAGGACATTTATTTCCATGAAGTAATGGATGACGTAAACGGATCAATGACTCGCTCCACGCGGTGACCTCACGCATCAAACACTCACTGAGTCTGTTGGAGTTGAGCGTCAGACTCTTGAGCTGCAGGAAGTTTCCGACGGCGGCAGGAAGAACCTCGATCTTGTTCCCGGACAGATCCACCGTCCGCAGGTTGCCGGTGAGTCTCTGCAGCTCCTCCGGAAACTGAAACAGGGACAGAGTGACCTTTGACCTCTGACGCAAGCACACGGGCGAACAGCTGAAGCTTAAACCGCCGCAGGAACAACGAGCAGCGACGAGTTCTGGGTTTAACCTGCAGCTCAGTTAACGACAGAACCAGTTGGCGTTATTGTGGGTCGACCAATACGGGTTTTTCTCTGTCCTTAATCATTCAGCTGCTTCATTCTCTACAGCAGGGCTGAAAGGATTCAAAGTCTGGGATTATTTCAAGCTAAAGAAAACAACTCTGTAATGTCACCGTCCGTCCACCGTAAAACCAAACTTTTGTTGCCTCGGCAACAGCACGACGGCGCCTCAGAAAGCAGCCGGTGTTCTGCCAGCGGACCACAGACAAGCTAACAGCAACTTTAGCATTTAGCTGAAATCCTGACTGATTGTTGAGTTGAAGCCAAAGTAAAACTGCAGTCCTCAGCTGAAAATGTGACCACGTGCGTTTGTCTTTGTCCTTTTTGGGCCATGAGTTGTGACCTCACAGTCAGGCGTTAACTGGGCGTCGGGGGGGAGGCGCCGAAGCTTCGGATAGCTGCAGCCCTAATCTGCATGTATAACTAAATGTATTTAACGCTGGTAGAGACTTGTTGAAAATCTGTTTGCTAATTGATTCCAGCTGTTGTTGTGCTTTACTATGATAGAAGTTAGCGCAGCCCTGATGGATCCAAACTCCATTCAGAAAACCAGCATTTTAAAAGCTGTGTGCTCATCATCTGGCTGGCAGACCTGACAGAGCAGGAAGTCACATGTTGAACAGATCGGCATCATGACCTCGTTATTTCAGTTTGATCCGTTTACTGAAACTAAATTACAGCTAAATGTTTGTTTTGGGTTCACACGGCTGCAGTAAAGGCTGGTTGTGTTGATTTGCGTTGTGTGTGTGTGAGTAGGCTAGTAATTAAACTCGCATGATTAATGGATAGCAAACTTAACCAAGTGGTACCGGATCTGCAGGTGATCGATTTTTAACCCATTACAGTTCAGAACTGAAGAAGTCCTTATATATATATATATATATATATATATATATATATATATATATATATATATACACACACACACACTTTATCATATTCTCTACTCACTAACTTCAGCTACCTAGTATTTCTATTCCTTTGATGCCTTGCGAGTATCTGCACAAAGAATTCACCAATAAGGTATTTCGATTGTGAAAATGGGGAAGGGTAGTGGTTAAGACATGCCTTTAGTGTGAGAGACGTGGGTTCGATTCCCACTGTGATACGTGTCCCTGAGTACTTCACCTCTAGTTGCTCCAAAGCTGCGCCCTCTGACAGAGCAATTGTGGTTTGCTTTTGAGAAAAGCGTCGCTAAATGACTGATTACTTAATACAGATGAGTTTTATTTAAACACACTTTTGTTGCGATCTCCATCTGCTGCCTCTGACCATCTGAAAGCGTGTGTGTGTTTGTTGTGTGGTGATTTCTCCTAATCCTGTTGGTCATGTGTTGATGAGGCGTTTAAACTGGAAACGCAGCTCAGTCATAGTTTCAGTGAAACCAACATGTGTCCATATCAAAAGTGACCAGTAGGTGTCGCCGTGGAGACGGGCGTCCAAGTGTTTCGAAGCCCCGACACAACTGCTTCAAACGTTTCAGTGTTTCACAAAGCCCCGCTGCCCATCACTAATTCCAGGTGGATTAGAAGATGTTCAGTTCTATTATAATCGACCTCATGATGGTTTATTGAGTTAAAATTGAACTTTTTTTACCAGGCGAGGATGAAAATATATTTTTTCTGTATTTCATCTCCATGTACTCTGTAATGGTAAAACAAATATGTTAATATACAAAGGATTTATGTTCCTCAGCTTCTGACCTTTGAAAGGAGACCAGAGTTTTGCATCTAGGCCTGATGGTTGAGGAGATTTTACTGATTTATTTTGGGTTTGTTATTTGTGGCAGGTGCCACGTGGTTAAAATTCCCTTCTGTGTGAAACCGACACTACAATCAAATTCATGTGCAACAGCTACAATAACTAAATCTGCTGACATGTCTGTTATGTAATTAGACTGCAATTAACGATTATATTACGTGTCCACTAACCTGCAGATAAACGGAACAGAAAATGATGAACGTCCTCAGATGTTTGTTTTGTCCACAAAGAGATTTAGTTTACCGTCACAGAGGAGCAAAGAAACCAGGAAATATTCACAGTAACAACAAAAGACTCAAACTGATTAATCGATAATCAAAAGAGATGATGATTAATTGAATATTTCACGACTAATCGATTACAGGCTGCAGCGCCAGATGTAATAATCTGTTTTCTTCCTGCAGGCTTTGAACGTGAGACACGCCAGCTGCTTTCATGCTGATTTTACTGTATTTCTCTGGTCTTTGAACGCCTCGTGGCTCTGCCGGCTGCTGTGTTTTGACCACCATAGTTCACCTGCTGTGACCCTGGGTTCTGAGTGTTTTCACTGGAAACAGGACGACTTCGTGAACAGGTGTGTCTCTCACCTCCTGCAGACCCTTCGCCGTCAGCTGGAACACCCCCGTCTTCTGGGAGGTCTCCAGGTGAGACTTCAGCGCACTGTTCCCCATCAGGTACCCCTGTCTGTCCTCCTACCTGTCTCTGTGTCTGTCTGACTCCACCTAACTGATCTGACTGAGGACACAAACTCTGCAGCTCCACTATCGACCCACAGCAGTAAAACCTAAAGTGAAGCTAATGACAGAGTTCACATCCAAACAGGATGTGGGATCAGCTGACCGCTGCTCCTCCTCCTCCTCCTCCTCCTCCCGGGTCGGTGTTAATCAGGATCAGATGGTGAATCCCTGCAGAGGACAGATCCATCAGCAACAGGCTGTGGGAGCTAGCTACGTTAGCTCGTTAGTAGCCTAGCTCATGAGACAAAAGTACAAACACTTTGAACACTGTTGGTTTGTTTAGCTCGCTGGCAAACAGCCCAGCAGCTCACAGAACCATAAACAGAACCGAACTCATTGTTTACTATCCGAAGCTTCGTTAGCACAGCAGCTAACTGCTAGCCTCCATGTAAACACAGCTAACACGCAGCTAACAGCTAACACGGCGGGTTTACTTACAGCAGAGCGAACTTTAAAATGGCGCCTTCCGCCTCCGGAACCTTCTGATCAAACCACGGACTGTATGAAATGAGGATTAAACTTGTGGGTTAAAGTGAAAAGGTGACGGAGTGGACGCCCCGATCCTGCAGGAGCAGCTGCTGCGCCCCGGCTGTGACAGCCAATGGGAGCGGCGGAGAGAGGCTACGTCACTTTATTTGTGGGGCATGCGCACTTTCCCTCTGCGTTTGTCAATGAACATCAGATTCAGAATCAGAAAGTAGTTTAGAGGATTTTACCTTTTTATATCCAGTCTATGGATTTTACACATTAACGTAAACAGGTGACATAAATAAATGTAAAAATATATAAATATGGAATAAACACAAGTTATAAAACAATTATATGAGTAAAGAAAAAACAATGGCAGATATTTACACGTGCATTACTCCGGGTTTGTGTTCAAACATTTTAGGGGGTTTGGATTAGTATTTATTTATATCAACTTCAAACCTGTAGGAGTCAGCTGAGTCCAGAGGGGGCAGCAGCGCGACACTGAGGCTGCTGCCGCCGAGAAGAAGAAGAAGAAGAAGAAGACGAACCGTCGGGCGGGCTCAGTTGTTGTTATTGTTGTTCTCGTTCCACAGAGGTTTAGAAAGACTTCAGAAACGGTAAGAACAAATAAAAACTGGTTATGAACTCTTTGTGCTTCTGTGTTCAGCAACATTTCTGCTAACGGAGTCGCTGTTTATCGAGAAAACCACAGTTTTCTGGTTCCCGCCGCGCCGTTTCCAACAAAATACCGTTTAAATTTTAAACAAGTTAGAGTGGATCTCGCTCTGTGTCCAACACAGAGAGCTTTAGGAAGGACGTCCAGGTAGATTTGGAGTCCTTAGAAACGAGCCTTCAGTTCGGCTGTGTACAGAACCACACAGGTCCAGGTTCTAGTCTGTAAACATGTCCTGTCTCTGTGTTTCAGATGCATCAGTTGGATCCATCTCTGTCCTCAGTGACTCCAGCTGCCAGCCTGTTGGCCAGATGTGTCTCCAGAGGTGCCATGTCTCAGGTGTGTTCTAACATCAATGCTAGAGACACTCACCTGCTGAATCCTGACCGGGTTTAAACACCTGGATCCATCTGCACACAGGAAACTGTGTTGGTCACTTGTATCTAACAAAACATAAAACCCGCTTCAAGTGACCACATAGAGACGTGAGGTCAGAACAGGGTCCAGGTGTGTCGGCACATAGAGACGTGAGGTCAGAACAGGGTCCAGGTGTGTCGGCACATAGAGACGTGAGGCCAGAACAGGGTCCAGGTGTGTCGGCACATAGAGACGTGAGGTCAGAACAGGGTCCAGGTGTGTCGGCACATAGAGACGTGAGGTCGGAACAGGGTCCAGGTGTGTCGGCACATAGAGACGTGAGGCCAGAACAGGGTCCAGGTGTGTCGGCACATAGAGACGTGAGGTCAGAACAGGGTCCAGGTGTGTCGGCACATAGAGACGTGAGGCCAGAACAGGGTCCAGGTGTGTCGGCACATAGAGACGTGAGGTCAGAACAGGGTCCAGGTGTGTCGGCACATAGAGACGTGAGGCCGGAACAGGGTCCAGGTGTGTCGGCACATAGAGACGTGAGGCCAGAACAGGGTCCAGGTGTGTCGGCTCATAAAGACGTGAGGTCGGAACAGGGTCCAGGTGTGTCGGCACATAGAGACGTGAGGTCAGAACAGGGTCCAGGTGTGTCGGCTCATAAAGACGTGAGGCCAGAACAGGGTCCAGGTGTGTCGGCACATAGAGACGTGAGGTCAGAACAGGGTCCAGGTGTGTCGGCACATAGAGACGTGAGGTCGGAACAGGGTCCAGGTGTGTCGGCACATAGAGACGTGAGGCCGGAACAGGGTCCAGGTGTGTCGGCACATAGAGACGTGAGGCCGGAACAGGGTCCAGGTGTGTCGGCACATAGAGACGTGAGGTCAGAACAGGGTCCAGGTGTGTCGGCACATAGAGACGTGAGGTCAGAACAGGGTCCAGGTGTGTCGGCACATAGAGACGTGAGGCCGGAACAGGGTCCAGGTGTGTCGGCACATAGAGACGTGAGGCCAGAACAGGGTCCAGGTGTGTCGGCACATAGAGACGTGAGGTCAGAACAGGGTCCAGGTGTGTCGGCACATAGAGACGTGAGGCCGGAACAGGGTCCAGGTGTGTCGGCACATAGAGACGTGAGGTCGGAACAGGGTCCAGGTGTGTCGGCACATAGAGACGTGAGGCCGGAACAGAGTCCAGGTGTGTCGGCACATAAAGACGTGAGGTCAGAACAGGGTCCAGGTGTGTCGGCACATAGAGACGTGAGGTCAGAACAGGGTCCAGGTGTGTCGGCACATAAGACGTGAGGTCAGAACAGGGTCCAGGTGTGTCGGCACATAGAGACGTGAGGTCAGAACAGGGTCCAGGTGTGTCGGCACATAAGACGTGAGGTCAGAACAGGGTCCAGGTGTGTCGGCACATAGAGACGTGAGGCCGGAACAGGGTCCAGGTGTGTCGGCACATAGAGACGTGAGGCCGGAACAGGGTCCAGGTGTGTCGGCACATAGAGACGTGAGGCCGGAACAGGGTCCAGGTGTGTCGGCACATAGAGACGTGAGGTCAGAACAGGGTCCAGGTGTGTCGGCACATAGAGACGTGAGGCCGGAACAGAGTCCAGGTGTGTCGGCACATAGAGACGTGAGGTCAGAACAGGGTCCAGGTGAGTCAGCACATAAAGACGTGAAGTCAGAACAGGGTCCAGGTGTGTCGGCTCATAGAGACGTGAGGCCGGAACAGAGTCCAGGTGTGTCGGCACATAGAGACGTGAGGTCAGAACAGGGTCCAGGTGTGTCGGCTCATAAAGACGTGAGGTCAGAACAGAGTCCAGGTGTGTCGGCACATAGAGACGTGAGGTCAGAACAGGGTCCAGGTGTGTCGGCACATAGAGACGTGAGGTCAGAACAGGGTCCAGGTGTGTCGGCACATAAAGACGTGATGTCAGAACAGGGTCCAGGTGTGTCGGCACATAGAGACGTGAGGTCAGAACAGGGTCCAGGTGTGTCGGCACATAGAGACGTGAGGCCAGAACAGGGTCCAGGTGTGTCGGCACATAGAGACGTGAGGTCAGAACAGGGTCCAGGTGTGTCGGCACATAGAGACGTGAGGCCAGAACAGGGTCCAGGTGTGTCGGCACATAGAGACGTGAGGTCAGAACAGAGTCCAGGTGTGTCGGCACATAGAGACGTGAGGTCAGAACAGGGTCCAGGTGTGTCGGCACATAGAGACGTGAGGTCGGAACAGGGTCCAGGTGTGTCGGCACATAGAGACGTGAGGTCAGAACAGAGTCCAGGTGTGTCGGCACATAGAGACGTGAGGCCAGAACAGGGTCCAGGTGTGTCGGCACATAGAGACGTGAGGTCAGAACAGGGTCCAGGTGTGTCGGCACATAGAGACGTGAGGCCGGAGGTCTCAGGAGTTCTGGGAACCAGATGTTCTCCTAACAAAGTGTTCTGTCCTCAGGAGGAAGTAGACGCCGCCTCCTCCAGGCTGAGCCCCGCCTTCTCTTCTCACCTGCACGAGGCTGAACAGCGAACCAGAACGCGCAGACAGTTGCACGAGGTACGCTTCAGTGTGATGTCACTTCCTGTGTCCAGGTCTGGGACGAGTCTGTTTTTCCAGACCTTGAAGTACTGAACTGTGTCTCCAGAGGTGCCGTGTCTCAGGTCTGACTCACCTGCTGAAGCCGGACCGGGTTTAAACTCCTGGATCCGTCTGCACAAAGGAACATAAAATCTAAAGTAGGGAAATTTAGTAGTTGATTCCGACTCCAGTAAAACTCGAAACCACGGTAACAAAACAAAACAATGAATCCCATCATGCACTTTGCCATTTTTAAACATCATGAACAATAAGAGCTGAGAGAGAGAGAGGATGTCCAGGAAAAACAAAACAGGTATCGATGTTTGAAATGCTGCATCGTCGTCTCTGGTGATTTTCAGGTGATCAAACTGAAACGTCAGAACAGAACTGGGAGAAATCCGGGTTCTGACACGGAGCTGCTGAAGCTGACCGCCGCCAAACGAACTAGAGATGCACGATGATCGTCAGTCCGTTAAATTATCGGCCATATTTTCATTATCAGAATCGGAAAATGAACTTTTGGCCGATAATTTAGCTGATAAGAACCAAACGGCGCTTTAAGCCCCTGCTCATGACGTCATGTTGATCCATGTGGGCGGAGCCTGAGGGATGTACGCTTTGTTTTGTTTAATACTTTATTTTGAATTTATGTTCTATGGAAGACATACTCGTTTGTTGTCAGTTCGATTTGCTTAGGTCAGAGTTACGGTGTTAAATTATAAATCTTGCTGCACTGACATGTCAGACTTTCTTACTGTCAGGTGTGTAAAATGAACTTTTTTATTTAACAGAAATGTGAAGAAATGATCGTTTATTGGATCGAAACAGGCCACTAATCACTAAAACTAAAGGCTCGTGCAGACTACAGGACTTTCAGCGTGCCGTTCACACCACACAACTTGCCGTCTTGTGACGGGAGTCTTGAAGTCGTCGTGGCGTTCACACTGCGTGACTGATGGGTGACAGAAGGGTCGCACACTACAGGAGCTGACAGCGGCTGAGTCACCAGACGCCGGTCTCCAAACCACGTTTTGTCAAGAAAACACAGGTGATATGTGAAACAGGAAATGAGCGATCCTGACTGACGGTACTGAGCAACACGAGAGTTTGGTACCAAAGTTCTCGTGACGTCTCTAATCTAAATCCACTTCAACGAGAGGTTTAATATAATCTAAGATAAAAGGTGAAATATTTCTTACTGAGTCTTTATCTGGTCTGTAAGAGCGACGCTGCTCCTTCACGACGTCGGACGCTATGACACTGACATCAGTACGATGACGTCACCACAAAGATCAGCTGTTCACACAGACTTCAGTTGGTCTGCAGGTCGCTGTGAAGCGTCTCCTCTTATTAAAGACGTGTCTGTGTCTCTGTTGCAGCTGCAGCTGCAGCTGGAGCTGCTGAGGCAGGAGAAGGAGAGCGCCGACGTCGCGCACGGATTCTACCTCGGTGAGTGCTTCTGCTGCAGACGTCAAGCTGAGAGATCGGTCTGATGTTCTCCTCTGATGTTTCTTCTTGTTCAGACTCGAACCAGCGGTGATCGTATCTCCTCACCCGCTGCTGCACCGGGTCACATGTTCCTTCATCACCCTGTATTCTGACTCGGGCCCACAGACGCCGTCCTGCTGACCCAAACTCTGCCTGTCTAACCTGTCGGTAAATCACTGAACAGATTTACCGACAGGAAGCAGTGGGCTCTCAGACAGGAAGTCACGTGCTGCCGGTTCGGGTCTGAACACGACACCTGGTCAGATTCTGGTCAGACGTTGATGTTGGCTCCTCTTCTCTCCTGCAGCTCGGCGTTTCCAGATGATGCAGATGTTCTGCGGCCACCTGCAGGACCTGCTGAAGGAGCAGACCAGCCTGAGGCAGAGGCTGATGAGACCGCTGGGCCGCGCCAACCTGCCCGTCCAGGCTGACCTGCACAGGTGTTGTTTTTATTACAGTGGACCCGATAAGCAGCTGCACCTTCACGTCTTAATCAGGCCACAGAGTCCCTAAAACACTGAAGTTGATTCCAGATTTCCTCAGTGCTCTGCCAACGCACAGCAACTCCAGTTAAACCAACTACTGGACGCAGAGTTCTACCTGCCGCTCGGCTTCTGGAGAGGCGTCTATGGTTCTGGCTGGTCCTGGATCAGACCCAGACTGGGTCCAGGGCCCGGATAATAAACTGGACAGACAGAACACCAGTACGTCCCCAGTTTGTAATGTTTGAGTTTGTGGTGTTTCAGGTTTGTGCTGGACGCTGTGAAGATGCTGCTGGACTTCATAGAGACTCTGGAGGAGAAGCTGAGCTCGGTCCGCAGCCGTCCCGCCGCCGGAGACCGCCTCGCTCAGCTGGTCAGTCACATGACCTCACTGTAGACCAATATAACGTGCCGTCATGCTGCCAGGAAACATCAACGTTTGTCTTTCTGTCTCGTGTGGACGTTTTTATTCTCAGCATGTAAAACCTTTTCCACCTGATCGTCTCTCTCTCTCTCTGTATCAGGACACCTCTCTCGCCCAGTTACTGGCTCAGGTGGCGGAGGTGGAGAGTTTGTCCAATCAGCTTCTCCAGTGGAAGGAAGTCAGCGGCAGCAGGCTGAGTGACAGCTCTGCAGGATGACCCCTCCCCCCTCCTGACGGACAGGACGCTGCGTGTTTACTGCAGTTGTTGTTATTATTATTATGTGACATGATGTTTGTTTTGTAATAAAATCAGATGCTGGTACTTCCTGTCGTTTGCTGAAGTTACCGTGTGGATTTGAAGGTAGAGGGCTGATTTGTAACGCCCCTCTGCTACGTCACAGACAATATACATTAATGTAAAAGCGGTCGTAGATCTCTTCCCAGAATGCAGCGGGGTGGGTACTGTCCTTTAATATCCTTTGCGCTCTGCAGGCACACAGGAAGTCCTCCGACAGAGAGTCAAACTCTGTCAGTTACTGGTTCAATACCTGACATGTGCAATCTTACTGCTTCAATACTCTCAATACTGTAGGATTTAAGGATTGTATGTACGAGTACCTGTTAGTATTTAATTCACTAGTACTATTTATCATCACACCCTCTTTCTATTATTTCTGTTCTGTAATATCTTGAGATGCAAACTGAGCAGTTGTAGCAAAGAGTTCTTTTTACTCCTTTTTACTTTACCACCTCAGCTTTTTACTTTACCTTCTCAGCTTTTTACTTTACCTTCTCAGCTTTTTACCTTACCTTCTCAGCTTTTTACTTTACCTTCTCAGCTTTTTACTTTACCTTCTCAGCTTTTTACTTTACCTTCTCAGCTTTTTACTTTACCTTCTCAGCTTTTTACTTTACCACCTCAGCTTTTTACCTTACCTTCTCAGCTTTTTACTTTACCTTCTCAGCTTTTTACTTTACCTTCTCAGCTTTTTACCTTACCTTCTCAGCTTTTTACTTTACCTTCTCAGCTTTTTACTTTACCTTCTCAGCTTTTTACTTTACCTTCTCAGCTTTTTACTTTACCTTCTCAGCTTTTTACCTTACCTTCTCAGCTTTTTACTTTACCTTCTCAGCTTTTTACTTTACCTTCTCAGCTTTTTACTTTACCACCTCAGCTTTTTACCTTACAGTGGGTACGGAAAGTGTTCAGACCCCTTTAAATTTTTCACTCTTTGTTTCATTGCAGCCATTTTCCAAAAATCAAAAAAGTTCATTTTATTTCTCAGTAATGTACACTCAGCACCCCATCTTGACAGAAAAAAACAGAAATGTAGAAATTTTTGCAAATTTATTAAAAAAGAAAAACTGAAATATCACATGGTCATAAGTATTCAGACCCTTTGCTGTGACACTCATATTTAACTCAGGTGCTGTCTATTTCTTCTGATCATCCTTGAGATGGTTCTACACCTTCATTTGAGTCCAGCTGTGTTTGATTATACTGATTGGACTTGATTAGGAAAGCCACACACCTGTCTATATAAGACCTTACAGCTCACAGTGCATGTCAGAGCAAATGAGAATCATGAGGTCAAAGGAACTGCCTGAAGAGCTCAGAGACAGAATTGTGGCAAGGCACAGATCTGGCCAAGGTTACAAAAAAATTTCTGCTGCACGTAAGGTTCCTAAGAGCACAGTGGCCTCCATAATCCTCAAATGGAAGACGTTTGGGACGACCAGAACCCTTCCTAGAGCTGGCCGTCCGGCCAAACTGAGCTATCGGGGGAGAAGAGCCTTGGTGAGAGAGGTAAAGAAGAACCCAAAGGTCACTGTGGCTGAACTCCAGAGATGCAGTCGGGAGATGGGAGAAAGTTGTAGTAAGTCAACCATCACTGCAGCAATCCACCAGTCGGGGCTTTATGGCAGAGTGGCCCGACGGAAGCCTCTCCTCAGTGCAAGACACATGAAAGCCCGCATGGAGTTTGCTAAAAAACACCTGAAGGACTCCAAGATGGTGATAAATAAGAGCCTCTGGTCTGATGAGACCAAGATAGAACTTTTTGGCCTTAATTCTAAGCGGTATGTGTGGAGAAAACCAGGCACTGCTCATCACCTGTCCAATACAGTCTCAACAGTGAAGCATGGTGGTGGCAGCATCATGCTGTGGGGGTGTTTTTCAGCTGCAGGGACAGGACGACTGGTTGCAATCGAGGGAAAGATGAATGCGGCCAAGTACAGGGATATCCTGGACGAAAACCTTTTCCAGAGCGCTCTGGACCTCAGACTGGGCCGAAGGTTTACCTTCCAACAAGACAATGACCCTAAGCGCACCGCTAAAATAACGAAGGAGTGGCTTCACAACAACTCCGTGGCTGTTCTTGAATGGCCCAGCCAGAGCCCTGACTTAAACCCAATTGAGCATCTCTGGAGAGACCTGAAAATGGCTGTCCACCAACGTTTACCATCCAACCATCAGAACTGGAGAGGATCTGCAAGGAGGAATGGCAGAGGATCCCCAAATCCAGATGTGAAAAACTTGTTGCATCTTTCCCAAAACGACTCATGGCTGTATTAGATCAAAAGGGTGCTTCTACTAAATACTGAGCAAAGGGTCTGAATACTTATGACCATGTGAAATTTCAGTTTTTCTTTTTTAATAAATTTGCAAAAATTTCTACATTTCTGTTTTTTTCTGTCAAGATGGGGTGCTGAGTGTACATTACTGAGAAATAAAATGAACTTTTTTGATTTTTGGAAAATGGCTGCAATGGAACAAAGAGTGAAAAATTTAAAGGGGTCTGAATACTTTCCATACCCACTGTACCTTCTCAGCTTTTTACTTTACCTTCTCAGCTTTTTACTTTACCTTCTCAGCTTTTTACCTTACCTTCTCAGCTTTTTACTTTACCTTCTCAGCTTTTCTTCTCTGTATCGTTCCAATTAATTAGTTCTAAGTTTAGTTGGTCAGAGGGGCCCCGCCAATCTTCTCCGTATCGTTCCAATTTATTAGTTCTTACTTTAGTCGGTCAGAGGGGCCCCGCCAATCTTCTCCTTATCGTTCCAATTTATTAGTTCTTACTTTAGTCGGTCAGAGGGGCCCCGCCAATCTTCTCCTTATCGTTCCAATTCATTAGTTCTAATTTTAGTCGGGGGGGCCGCGCTAATGTCTGTGGCGCCCCGAGAGGCTTTGAATTCTGCTCATGTAACATTGCAGGATGTTTTCTAGACGACATTGCTGATGAGAGTTGATCAAAATTCAAAGTTTATGGGAAGTTTCAGACCCAAGAAATGACTTTATCTCTGCCAACACTTCACATTGAACTTTATATTATTTCTAATGAATTTACATCTCTATGTGGAACTTGCATCGGGCTACTGTGTGTTCCTTCCTCCTTACAGACAGAGTCCTGCAACTGGATCTGTTCTCTGCCACAGAGTCAACAGAAAGGCTTTAGAGCCACACTTGAGCACAGTAAAGCTACAAAAGTCCATATTTTAGCTGTTTTTTTGCCCTTTTCTAAAGAGAAAGATCCTGCTCCGCCAAAATTATGTTCTTTGTGGAAAATGAGGAACGCTTCACGAATTTGCGTGTCATCCTTGCGCAGGGGCCATGCTAATCTTCTCTGTATCGTTCCAATTTTAGTATATGTGCTACCGGAGTAACACAACTAACCCCTGTCGCTGTTTGCTATATATAGGCGTCTCTCCGGGGACCCGTCAGAGTCAGGGTGGCAGAGTATACAGAGACTGGAGGGGAAAAACTGCCTCTAAAAGGCTGTAGTATGGACAAAAAAACAAGTAAGCAGAGGTCTGGGTGCTTCACTGTGATCTCTGTACCTACAGTGACCCAACAAGACCCAATCTGACCTAGTTTCACTCCGCTTTGGTCCCGTCTGCCCTGCTGAGGAGCTCACGGGGCTGATGGGAAATCTATGCAAAGAGCCTTTACGTCAGGCAGCCAGGATTGGTGCGCTGAAGGAGAGTCAACAAAAGACCTTTTCCCTCCCCCGGAAACCTTCAGCGGCTGCCGGGTGGGGGAGGGAGGCAGAGAGGGAGGCAGAGAGTGACACACGGGCTGCATCATGTGACGACTTCTTTCATCACAGCAACGAGCAGCTCCTCAGTGTTCGTGCAGAGACCGGAAGCAGAAGCTTTCTGAGCTCAGGATCATGGTGGATCGCTGATGTGATTCCACACGTTGGGTTTGGAAAATGGAGTCTCGCTCGGAGGACGTGGATTTCTCTGTGATGGTATTACAGAAGCTCCCTGTCCTCAGATGGACTCAGCTGTGCCTACCAGCTAAACTCTAGTAGTACTCTACTAGAGTTATTTCTGTAAACACAGTATTTCAAAGTCAAGATACTACAGATATACACATGTACAGGACTGTTTTTATTTCCCTTTGCTTTAACTGTGCTTGTTCCTTCCTGTTTCATTACTTCCTGCTGTTGTTATTTAAAAACTGCCATTGCAGTTTCCCACACTCACCAGCAGGTGTCAGCCTGGGACCAGACTGTGGAGTGAGGGCGCTGCTGAAGTCTGACTGCAGAACACACAACACCTGACTTTATGCTTCAGTACTTGTAAATTGTTGAATGCAGGGAAATCACAAACCATAACCCATTAATAAAATCTGACCATTTACAATTACCCTGCTTTTCTCACTCTGGTAGCACTAAAGAATATTTGTAACCCATAGTGCTACTCAAACCATATGTGGTATTTAGAGGTGTAGTTGCATTTTGCTCCACTAGGGGGAACAATACACCACAGCAGGGGTTTTCAAAGGTTTTCAGCGGAGGCTCAGTGAATGGAAGTCAAACTAGATTACATTACTTATATTACAGTAACAGGCTATATGCGCAACTGCATTCTGCGAAACAGGTCTCACCACATCCGGTTCAGGTCTGCTGTACCGCGCTACGTTGGATATGGCACTGTTTTACTCTAGATGCCTTCAGGAATTACCCAAAATGAGCATATCTGATGTCCATCGCATATGCAGGTTGACATCTAAAACTCCTGCCACCAAAGTGCACAAGGGATTTAAGCTTGATTTACGCCTCCTCATACATATTTGACTACGAAGGCTTGTATCTGCTAGCGATAGCTCATGTTATGTTACCTACATAATCACGTTTGCACTTTATTTTCACCAGTATCAAACAAAGACAGACTGACTGGTGCTGTCAGCATCAGGGCAGCTAGTCACAGATCTATGAGGAAAAACGAGAAGCCACAGCCTGAGAGTAACGTTAGGGATGGTCGGTTGTTCTGTTCGGGTTCTCAATATGTTCCAGTTCAGGGACAGTATTTATCAAG